CGCGCGCGCCACGGCCCTCCTCCCTCTCCTACCCACATGGTGACACTCTTTGACTACATATTCTATAGTTTAGATTCCAGTTCCACTATTGTATAGTTAAAAGCTACGACTGCACAGTTGGTGCGGTGGCTGGGCAACCGGCTGCCGTGCAACGTGTCGCGGGTTCGATTCCCGCACGGAACAACATTTTGTGTGATCCACAAATTGTTGTTTCGGGTCTGGGTGTGATGTGTATGTGAACTTGTATGTTTGTAAACGCACCCACGATACAGGAGAAAATCCTAGTGTGGGGCAACGTTAAAAAAAAAAAAGTTTAAATTCAAAAATTGTTATAAACTTTTGACATGCCTATTTGTAATGTATCGAGAATAAAATGCTATTAATAGACTAATTAGGCAATGAACCACATTGATGTCTGTCACATTAGTGATTTAATTTTCTACAATTTACAGCAAAAGCAAATAAAGATGGCAAACTAGAACCTTGCAAACCTATCCTCAGACTGGAATGGAAGACCTCGAGAACAGGGTACGTTATATTCATATTGTCCGTTATTACCTCGAAGTAATCGATTAATCACTAAGATATATGAATAATTAATTATATCTCACGATGTTCCAGAGAGAGCCTGGTGATATTCAGCGGCGGTTTGCCGACGGACAAAGCGGGGCGCACCCACAGCATCACCGTGCTCAACGGCAAGTCCACCACCGTGCTCGAGATGGAACACAGCGTCGTGGACTTCGTCACGCTCTGCGAGACTCCGCACACGGCCGGTACGGCACTCACTCACCACTCACTCACCACTCACTCGCTCCCTCACACACTCACACACTATTATAAACGTTGCATTACACAGCTTTACAAAATCTGACATCTGCGTAATGAGGTATTCAAAGTGACTAGACACGTTGATTCAAATACGAATATTTGTGAGCTTCAGTGACGACGAGAGAATACTTATAGACGACTGACTGTTCGCATCATGGTTTGTTTAAATGTGTGCTCACAATATCTGTCCAATGTACATCGATCAAGTATAATACAGCTAGTAGGGCAATCTTGTCCCACGTGCCGTGCAGCTTCCAGAGTTGGCTTGTTGATTACAGACTACCAGGAGCCCTACGCGATAGTGGTGCTGCTGCAGAACGACCTGGTGGTGATCGACCTGCAGTCGCCTGGGTACCCTTGCTTCGAGAACCCCTACCCCATGGACATCCACGAGTCCCCCGTCACCTGCTGCTCATACTTCGCGGACTGTCCGTCAGACCTGGTACGTGGCAGATTAAACACTATCACTTAGAGAGCTATACAAAGAGTAGCCTTGTAATCAGGTGTTGTTTGGCGGAAATCAGAAATTAGAAATAATTCATTTGCCAAAAATGTAGGTAACAAATATGTTGTTTTATAACTTATGGAGAGTCCCGCTACATTTTGCCTCACGACATGCAAAAATAATGAGTTAATTGAATATATTGTCTAAGTTGATACGTTTACATCTAGTTAACATTTCTATAATTATATGAAATTAAGACACATATTGGAAAAAAACAGTTATTGCTAGTATAAACAAAAAACAAAATTAATAACAATCAAATCATTCAGAATTAAGCACAATGCAGGCAAAAGGTGGTGTGAAGGATTTCGTAAAGAGCTATTTTGTTGATGTTTCCAGATCCCAGCGTTCTACTCAGTGGGCCGGCAAGGCAACAAGAAGCCGACGGGCTTTAGCGAAAAGCTGTGGCCCATCAACGGAGGCGAATGGGAGCCCGCGTCCTGCTCATATAACGAAATTATTCTGACCGGGTAGGCGCTCTGCACTCTCCTGTAATTTGTCAATGTTCTAACTCATGTAAATCAGTTATTCTCATTTATGTTCTGCTCTATTCCAGGCATGCAGACGGCAGTGTAAAGTTTTGGGACGCAAGCGCTGGGACCTTACAAATTTTGTACAAATTAAAATGTTCTAAAGGTAGGTAGCGTATTTCTGGGCGGACAGCGGGGCACAGTATGTCGGTATTGACTGAGTGTGCAGTGTGTGAGTACTGACTGAGTGTGCAGTGTGTAAGTACTGACTGAGTGTGCAGTGTGTGAGTACTGACTGAGTGTGCAGTGTGTGAGTACTGACTGAGTGTGCAGTGTGTGAGTACTGACTGAGTGTGCAGTGTGTCAGTACTGACTGAGTGTGCAGTGTGTGAGTACTAAATGAGTGTGCAGTGTGTGAGTACTGACTGAGTGTGCAGTGTGTGAGTACTGACTGAGTGTGCAGTGTGTGAGTACTGACTGAGTGTGCAGTGTGTGAGTACTGACTGAGTGTGCAGTGTGTGAGTACTGACTGAGTGTGCAGTGTGTGAGTACTGACTGAGTGTGCAGTGTGTGAGTACTAAATGAGTGTGCAGTGTGTGAGTACTGACTGAGTGTGCAGTGTGTGAGTACTGACTGAGTGTGCAGTGTGTGAGTACTGACTGAGTGTGCGGTGTGTCAGTACTGACTGAGTGTGCAGTGTGTGAGTACTAAATGAGTGTGCAGTGTGTAAGTACTGACTGAGTGTGCAGTGTGTAAGTACTGACTGAGTGTGCAGTGTGTGAGTACTGACTGAGTGTGCAGTGTGTGAGTACTGACTGAGTGTGCAGTGTGTGAGTACTGACTGAGTGTGCAGTGTGTCAGTACTGACTGAGTGTGCAGTGTGTCAGTACTGACTGAGTGTGCAGTGTGTGAGTACTGACTGAGTGTGCAGTGTGTGAGTACTGACTGAGTGTGCAGTGTGTGAGTACTAAATGAGTGTGCAGTGTGTGAGTACTGACTGAGTGTGCAGTGTGAGTACTGACTGAGTGTGCAGTGTGTGAGTACTGACTGAGTGTGCAGTGTGTGAGTACTGACTGAGTGTGCAGTGTGAGTACTGACTGAGTGTGCAGTGTGTGAGTACTGACTGAGTGTGCAGTGTGTGAGTACTAAATGAGTGTGCAGTGTGTGAGTACTGACTGAGTGTGCAGTGTGTGAGTACTGACTGAGTGTGCAGTGTGTGAGTACTGACTGAGTGTGCGGTGTGTCAGTACTGACTGAGTGTGCAGTGTGTGAGTACTGACTGAGTGTGCAGTGTGTCAGTACTGACTGAGTGTGCGGTGTGTCAGTACTGACTGAGTGTGCAGTGTGTGAGTACTGACTGAGTGTGCGTGTTGCAGTGTTCGAGCGCCGGTCGGGGGGCGCGGGGGCGGGGTTCGAGGAGGACAGTCCGCTGGCCATCCAACAGATCGCGCTGTGCTGCGAGTCCAGGCGCCTGGCCGTGGCACTGCCCCACGGACACGTCGTACTCTTCAAGTTCCGCAAGGCTGACACACACGCAGAGACACACGTGAATATCTACCGTTCATTACACACACCCCAAATAAATTATTTCAAAGGAAACCTTATCTCTCACTGAGATTACTTTTAGAAAGAAGACGTGGATTGTTAGATCGTCCCTTATATTCACTTAAATAAATAATTATAAATAATCATAGTACGTGTAAGTGTGGAGTATGAGGTGCAGGTGTGTGTGCAGGTGTTGGAGATCCCGATGATATCTGACGTGCTGGAGGAGGAGTGCTCGCCCGAGCCGGACGCGGCGCGCTCCATGTCCTTCAGCCGCGGCGGGGACGGAGCCGACGGGGAGGCCAGGAGAGTACGTTACATTGCATGCTTATCTCACTTACGTTATATTTATATACCTAGCAGATGTAATTGCCTGTGTCAATTACTACTCCTAGTGATCCAAAGGCACTTACGTCTATTAGCTCATTGATTCATCGGCCCAGTGGTTACTTACATTGTGCATTATGTGCACACGCACATTGCGAGTTCACACTGTTACCGCGAGGAGTGATATGATCAGTTCGTTGCTTAAAACACACGTGTTATAATGTCCATTAGAGTCAGAACATCAGGAATTCATCACCATCTTAAACGGTCAGAACATCAGGAACCAAAAATAAGTGCAATCATGTGTATGATGATATCGCCTTTTTAATATGTGGTTTGGTCGTAGTCAGGTGTATGGGCGGGCGGGGGCGGGGGCGCCGGCGCCCAGCTACGCGTGCGCGGCGCCGAGGGCACCGGGGGCGCCCGGCGCGCCGCCGGCTTCCAGCCCACGCTGGTGGCGCTGCAGCAGGCCGCGCCGCACCCCATCGCCGCGCTCACCATCAACTCGTCGTACGGCCTGTAAGTACCGCGGGCGGGCGCGGCGCGCCGGGCCCCGCTGACCTGGGTGTGGTTGCAGCATGGCGTGGGGCGGCGAGCGCGGCGTGGTGGTGCTGGACATGTCGCGGCGCGCGCTGCTGTGTGCGCACGCGCCGGCCGCGCTGTACCTGGCGCCCGCGCCGCCGCCGCGCCAGCCCGAGCGCCAGCGCTCGCCCAGCCTGGACCAGGTAACTGCGGCGCGTCCCCTACTGTCCGGAACACTCCCTACTGAACGATAATATTACAAGAAACACAGCGCGTATATCGCTAGCTAGCCGGGCCCCGCGGGACGCCCCGGCCGCTCGGGTCCCGGCGGGCGCCAGGGCGCTCGCGGGCCCCACGCGTGCCTCGCGGCAGGAGACAGCGCGGCTGACGGTTACTTCACATTACGTTTGATTTGCTTTTTTATTTACTTACTTATGATTTGCACTGGCGGAAGCCCGCCGTATCCCTATACTTTTTTATAATTTTGTAATTAATTTAAAGTAATTTAGCAGTAGCGCCTCACCCGGCTTGTCCCAGTAGTAACATGGCATGGCATCGTTAGATATTCTTTACACTCGGCCTGTCTTACTCTCCTATCGCATACATCTTAAATAGAACATTTGTTATCAGTCAAGTTCACAGATTGTCTGCATATGCTAGGACGTAGGAGTAGGATCGTACCTCACGGTATGCGCTAGCACATAAATGTCGGACGTAGCTCAGTTGTGCAGAGTAGGGCACGGCACCGCACAGTCCCCCGCACGGGTCGCTCGCTCGAGCGCGACCTTTACTTCACCTTTATGTTTGTTCCCATCCGTTATAAGCTGGAGGACAGCGCGGCGCGGGCCAGCCCCGGCGCCAGCCCACACGACGAGCCCGACGAGCCCGCCGCGCCGCCCGAGCCCGCGCCCGACGCTGCGCCTGACGATAAGCCCAAACTCGACACGAGAAGGAAATCTACCACCTGGAAGAATTTCAATCTGAAACGACAACTCTCTAAAGTGGATCTCAAGTTCAAGGCGGCATTTGCGGCGCCCACCGAGAATAATACCGAGGAGATCAATGCAGAGAAAAGCAACTCCCAATTCTATTGCGAAGCCCCGGATCGGGCGCCAGTAGGAGCGCCGGAGCGAGGGCCTGAGCCGAGCGCCGGCGAGTCGCCGCCGGGGGACATGTACGAGCGCATGCACCGCGAGCTGCAGGAGCGCTGGATCGAGCAGGACGCGCCGGCGGGGCCCGGACTGGCGCCCGGCGGCGCGGCGCGGCCCGACTGCCTGGCGCTGGGCCCCCGGCGCCTGCTGGGCGTGCCGCGGCGCGAGCGGCCCGGCGCGGGCTCGCTGGGCGGTCTCATGCGCCGCTTCAGTAAGTATGGCAGCATCACTCACGCATCACCGACGCCGGGTCCACGGTCTCCGTTGCTAGCACTAGTCGTTCCTCGCTGTACTAGAAGTAGTTGCGTCCTCCGACTGGAATGGTAATGGTTTGCAATTTTTCCTCTAACTCACTGATACCGTAGCCCCTTTACATTCGGGACCTAGATTTGACTAGCTAGAAGTGATGGTAGTTAGATGTACTGATACGTATTCAAGTATTTTGTTACTGACACAATTCCGTGAGAAGCTATCGGTCACTAACGGCGTTAGTAGGCACGGTAAGAGACTCCGAGCTGCGACTCTACTTGCTTTGTGCTTCTTGTGATATTTGGCTTTTTATCAATTTGGTTTATAAATATTGTGTAATATAATTATATGTATATTATAAGGTTGAGTTATTGTATAAGTGAGAGCCGTTGTCCGTAACTATTCCATGTCACCTGTACAAAGGCCACACGGTGCTCGGTGCCGCTCGTGTCTGTCACATACTTGTAACTCGTAATCTGTAAGAGGACACGTTGCTCACTCATGTGTATATTTCTTTTATTCCCAAGGAAAAGGACTCGTCCGATGAAGACTCTAACTGCCTTAAATATCTATTCGCAGACTTTCTCGGTAATTGAACAATGATTAATAGTATTAACTGATTGCATCAAACCGTAGGTGATCTCTGTGTTGTCAATGTCTGAGATGATGTTCAGTGCTAATGGTACGAGCTGAGTAGTCGGTATAGATGGCACCACTCTCGCTTGTAGCTTCACATCAGATAGCGCGTCATCTCGAGCACGGGTCCTGTACATGCGCTCGCTCATGCCCCGACTTTCCCCAGGGGAGTTAGTAGCGTGGCTGTGCCCCGTCCGCGACTCGAACGGCGACCAGGCGCACGAGCAGGCCGCCAGCGTGGCGCAGCGCATAGGTATGAGTCCAGTCAGTCCCACGACTAACACCGCAGCCCGCACGGGCCCCGTCACTAAACATGCGACTAATCCACTATTGGCACAGAGATCACGTCGTCCTAACGAAGGGTGTGTGTAACCGTGGTGCGACGTACGGGGGCGGTGCGACTGCGTGTTGTGTTGTAGATGAACGGGCCGGGCGGCGGGGGCGGCGGGGGCGCCGGCGGGCGCGCCGGGGGCCGCGGGCGCGGGGCCGGCGGCGGCGGGCTCGCGCGTGCGCCGCTCGCGCTCGCAAGGTACCCGCAAACTGCACAAGTGCCTGTCCACGGCGTCCGACGTGTACGCCGCGCCCCCCGCCCCGCAGCACTCGCTGCTGACGACGCGCCAGTATTGCAGTTTTGGTAGTACAGTCACCTTGTACCGAGTCCACTCGGCTAAGTCTCCTTCCGTTCTGAGGCAGTCGCAGTTCTTCCTTTTGGTTTTTATCTTTTGTTCGTTATGTTTTATGCCTTTTCCTCGGCGACGTCGAGCGCTCGCTTGAGCCGGCGCACGCGCATGGGTGCATCCCGCACATCGTGCGCAGCATCTTGAGCTTAAGTGAACTAAGAAGGCATTGTGGCTGACGTTGTTGTCCGCAGCAAGTGAAGCTACGCTTTGTCTGTAATGTGTATGTTTGGTAACTTGGTAATGTGAGCTGATCAAGCGCGCTCAGAGGTCTGTCAATTACTCTCACTTGTATCTCTTCGTTATTTTTTGTTAATTTAACTTTTTATTCTTTGGTTTCTCACACTCACTGAAATACTTCTTTCCATTACTAAATACTCAAACATGTTGCCTGCTGTGAGTTCGAAGATGACCCACTGATCGCGAATTTGATTACTTTAGTCTGAATACGTTACTTATCTCAGTGCAATTACTGTAAACATCCGAGACATCTTCAAACTCATATCAATTTGTTCGTAACATAATATTGGTGATTGATCACCGGAACCTTACATACATGTAATATTTAGTGTTGTCAATGTTATATGGACATAAGCTGCAGAACACCGCGCCTCTGTCTCATACAGACTGGAACTGTAAACATTTTTATTCAGCCCCTTATTATTTGCTGAAGCATGTGTTGATCTGTTGAGTTACTTCCATATTTATTTATTTGAAATATTTCCAATTTCAGATCGGAATCATTTAATAGGTAACCATTCGAATATTCCTCACCTATCGTATTTTAAGTTATAATTTGGTTTATCTAGTTGTTACATCCGAGTAGAGTTATCCTTGGTTGTCATTCCGAATCCGAGCTAGAATGAGTTCCTCGTGTTTGATGGTGTTTCATGTATGTCCATGTCGGCTTGAGAACTACTCTTGTTGTACAGTCTGTGGAGAGACGGCCGCCGCGCAGCGCTCGTCGGGCCCCTGGGCCCCTGAGCCGTGGTCCAGCGGGGGCCCGGCGAGCGCCGCGTGGCGCCCGCCGCCCTTGTGCTCGTGCTTGTAACATATTGTGGTTTTGTTTGTCGGTACAGAACCCACTGTTCCGCAGACTCTCGCATCTATGGAGTACTTACACATTATGCAACCCAATGGTACCCAAACAACATTTGCATCGTTTCATTTATTCTTATGTTCTTTGGTATGGTGTTCGTTTATTTCCGCTTGTGCGTGCCGCACCGTAGCCGCTCCTAGTGCGACGTGGCTGTGACTGTCTTGTAATGTACCGCACACTCTTGTCTGCGCACTCTTGTATCCGATCTCTGACTGGCATGACTCATACTTGTACAACTAAAAGGTGACTTACTACTCAAAACTATTTTATGTCTATCACTGTATCACTGTTATTGTTACGATGAACGAGCCCTACAGTATATCTATATGTTATATATACCTATATATGTGCATTCTACAAGCGAGGCTTTCCACATTGTGCGAGTCACATGACCTTACCATTGTCGTTGCGCTCCCGAGCGATCACGTTTTCTTTATTTGCCTTCGTGTGCAGCGCCTGCCGTCTGCTGTACCTGTAATCTTGCTACGCTGCTCCGTGTCCAGTACATTAATGTTATTTCTTTTTCTAGCCCGACCAAATGTTAGTATGGCTCGTTTTGGCTGGCTGTACTGTATTCGGCTGTCTGTATGCTTCCGTACGTTACACGTAGTAGAGTGCCGTAGCTGCATGCGCCCGCCTGGCCGGTCGGCTGGCCGTCCCAGCGCTGGCCCTGGTGCTCCCCTCACCCATCTCACGTTGCGTTCGTTGGCTCGTAGCTTGCACTCGTTCTGTTGAGTCGTCCGTAGCGGTCGGTTCGCTTCTCATCCGCTGTACTAACTCATCATAGAGCTGTTTATCGATGTGCTCGTTACGTTAACTTATACTAACGTCTAAGTGTACGGACAAAGTAACGTTAATGGCGCGGCCGGTGTCCGGTCCGCCGCCTCACTAGCGCCGGGTACCATTCTATCGGGTATGTCTGGGTCAGAGCACTAACCGTGGAGGATCGGCGACTAATAATATCAAACATAACTCGACATCAACAAGACGTTGTGCAAATAAGCTGAGATTGGCGCCGGCATGCATCGCCTCTATATATTACTATCTTCTGAGCATGATCTATTATTATGTTGATTCCTTATATCGACTTGTAACCGCACTGGTGTATGGCACTCGACTAATAATTTCAGCTAATTTCACAACAGCACCGATAACACTAAGCCGTGAGCTGAGCTCGCTTTAGTCTGCAACCTTATCTACCGTGTAGACTAGTGCACCCGCGGCGCCGGCCAGGGACTCGACCACATCTATTCTGACTGCGGACCACTGAGATAAGTTCAAACAAAGCATAGGAGCAATACCCGATAGCGCTTGCAATTCAATTTAAAACAAGCGCTGCACTGAATGTTGCAATATAGCAACTTGTGGATGTATATCACGTGGCTTCATAGTTGCAGTGTGCGCTATTGCGACGGAGCGAGTTGTTCGAGTGTCGCAAGGCTGACGCCATGGCTCGGCGATACTTCCTTAGCCGCTTGTAGTGGTCCGCAGTGTAGTGGCGTAGAGTAGAGGTCCCTGGCCGGCGCCGCGCGGCCCGAGTCCGACGGACGCAGTAATCCGTGTGTGTGTATGTTGCCAACCGGCCGGGTAGACAAGCTGGACAGCTCGTTCTCACGCTCGCGCTCCAGCTCCATGTCCAGCCTGGAGAACATCTCGCAGGAGGGCATCCAGTGCCTCGCCTTCGCTGACAGCTATACTAAAAAGTCTGGTGAGAATTATTTTATATATTTATTATTTATATACACACATATAACATAAAGGACAACACTTATACACATAATTGAAGTACAAAGGTAATAGTACCTATATCGATGTGCTCGTACAGGAAGGACAGGATAGGTCTATGTCTATTCCTATGGGAAATTTGTCTCACCTGTGGTAGGAAAAATAAATAATGATATAAGACACAGTGTATAATAAAAAAATATAAAATGAACAAAGAAAAGAGACTTAAAACTAAACAGATTTAAAACAAAAAAATGTACCTATGTATAGAATAGAGTCAGGCGGTCTACTTTCATGCTGCACGAACAACAATATTTTAACCTTCCACCAAAGGAAAACTACATACTTACGTTCCCAGGTGTTCATGAAAAAAATGCATATCAGTTACATATAAAAAATATACGCATATACATATAAAATACACATTTATACTTAAAAGATACTATTTTCTCACTCGTACCTTCCTAAATAATAAATTATCAGCGATTTACTTTAAATAAAGGACTTAAACCAGATGATACTCACTCCATCACCAACCAACAATCCTTTCGATACGTCTAGCAAGGCACATGATTCCTAAATGCTATTGTATGTGTATGTAATAGACCCCACGGCGCTGACTCCGACGCTATGGATCGGCACGACGCTGGGCTCCGTGCTGACGCTGAGCATCACGCTGCCCGAGGCAGAGCTCCGCCACACTCAGCCCGTGCACGTCACCACCAGCGGTCTGTACCCCGCCCTGCTCCGACATTATTCAAATAATGTAATCACATCTGTTCTTCAAATAGATATTAATGAAAGCTTTTGTTCGCAGGTGGTCCGTTGTTTAGGTTAAAGGGTTCAATCCTAACTATGTCATTTCTTGACTGCAATGGTGCTTTAATACCTTACTCTTACGAAAGTTGGAGAGACGACAGTAAAGATGTAAGTAGACGTGATGCAGCACACTGCGCCCCTAGCTCTCGGGCCGCAGGGTGCTGTACATAATGGTGACGAAACTATCTCTACGTACACACGTGTACTAGACACTTATGTTGAGTGTAACACCTACGGTTATGAAAGAGTCTTGGGTAATGCGAGATAATTCACCTCCAATATATAACATCACGCCTTTTAACCCCGAAGGGGTAGGCAGAGGTGTACATTACGGCACTCAATGCCACTGTAAATAAATAAATAAAATTTTTATTCATATGAACACTGGTCAACATAGGTACAAAAATATCTTAATTAAGCGACAAGATCTTAAAAATAATATGCCTATACTAGGAATATTCCTGTGTCACAGGCGACAGGAGCTCTAAAAATATGTTACTGATAAGACAACTTATTTATAGTATATTTAAAATATTTAACAGAATTTTCAGAAGTAAGGTAGGATTGTTTAATATACTACATTACATACATACATACATACATACATATAATAACATCACGCTTTTTATTCCCTGAAGGAGAATAAAAAGTTGAACCTACATAATACATTAATATAAAATTAAATAAAAGCTATATTCGTATATAATCTAGGTAATATTACATATTACAAGGCTATCAATTATTTTAGATCGTCTGCAGAAACACAAAAAACTAGGTCAGAGTCCATACGGTCACTCACTTGTTACACTTAGATCAAATGTGCTTGGACAGCAATAAATTGCTGAGTAAGCCAACCTGTTAATGTGCAATTGTTATACAAGTGAACTAAACTAAACGAAATGACTAATCGAATTGGAATTCTGACTTCGAGCATTTTCTCTTTATGCGCCTTCATAATCGATGGAATTGATATATCTGTGTTCGGCTATCTTCCTGGCTGGGCACTCTGCGTCTCCTGTCTTGTGACTGTTGGGCTTGTTAAAGCGAGAGCATGTGGTACATTTTGGGGAATCGATTGTCTTCGTGCACACGGATGTCATGTGTCCTGTTTCTCCACAATGGCCACACACTGAGTAGTGTACAATGTAACACTGTACAATGTAACACCCACTCTTCACTATTTATGTTATGAGTCTCATGTAATAGGGGGTGAGCCTATTGCCATATACCGGGCACAATTCCAGTCTCCATGCTACTACTGAGATTTTTTGAAAAAGTAAATTTTTGCCCGACCCGAGACCCCTTGCCCGGCAGTCGGAACTGCGACCACTCGGCCAACGAGGCAGTCCTCCAATAATGTATTAATTAATTTATTTATTTATTTATAATTCTTACTTATAAAAATGGATAAAAATAACAATAGGCGTAGGTAACAACGAGCCAATTACAAGTCTCGTGAGACATACTAAATAAATTATTATGTTTTCGGCTTACTCACGTAATGCGGCTGTCAGTAGCAGCGCGACAGTCGCCGCGTCGCGGGTCGCGAAATGCTGCTCATGAATATGAGCCTCTAGTATGGCTTGAAACTAGTCGAGTTCCTCGTCAAATAATTATGTGAGTAAGCCGAAAACATAATAATTTATTTAGTATGTCTCACGAGACTTGTAATTGGCTCGTTGTTACCTACGCCTATTGTTATTTTTATCCATTTTTATAAGTAAGAATTATAAATAAATAAATTAATTAATTAATACATTATTGGAGGACTGCCTCGTTGGCCGAGTGGTCGCAGTTCCGACTGCCGGGCAAGGGGTCTCGGGTCGGGCAAAAATTTACTTTTTCAAAAAATCTCAGTAGTAGCATGGAGACTGGAATTGTGCCCGGTATATGGCAATAGGCTCACCCCCTATTACATGAGACTCATAACATAAATAGTGAAGAGTGGGTGTTACATTGTACAGTGTTACATTGTACACTACTCAGTGTGTGGCCATTGTGGAGAAACAGGACACATGACATCCGTGTGCACGAAGACAATCGATTCCCCAAAATGTACCACATGCTCTCGCTTTAACAAGCCCAACAGTCACAAGACAGGAGACGCAGAGTGCCCAGCCAGGAAGATAGCCGAACACAGATATATCAATTCCATCGATTATGAAGGCGCATAAAGAGAAAATGCTCGAAGTCAGAATTCCAATTCGATTAGTCATTTCGTTTAGTTTAGTTCACTTGTATAACAATTGCACATTAACAGGTTGGCTTACTCAGCAATTTATTGCTGTCCAAGCACATTTGATCTAAGTGTAACAAGTGAGTGACCGTATGGACTCTGACCTAGTTTTTTGTGTTTCTGCAGACGATCTAAAATAATTGATAGCCTTGTAATATGTAATATTACCTAGATTATATACGAATATAGCTTTTATTTAATTTTATATTAATGTATTATGTAGGTTCAACTTTTTATTCTCCTTCAATTACAAGTCCTCACGTTTATAATTTTGAATAAATTAATTAATTTGGTGTGAGTACTATACAATATTAAAAATACATACATTCTGCGTAAATGAAAAAGTGAAATATTGAAACAGACCGTGCAGACAATATGATTATAAACAGATCAAGAGAAACAATATAAAAAACTAAATATCTATTACTGCTTAAAAAAATTGAGGCTTACTTACAAACATTGTTAAAGTGTCTGCTTGCACGCATAATGTAACTGTTCTGCCTGTAGTTAGATGAGGAACGGGATACGTGTAAAGGTGGATTAAATCTAAATATTTTATTAGGTACATTAAATTTGATTTTTGATAATAGTTGTGGACTATCCACATTGCCGTTAAGATCCTTCAACAAGAATAGACAATCTGCAATGTTGCGTCGATCTACCGCTACCGTTAGTACCGCTGAATAGCCGTAGTTTACCTGGAATTCTTACAGCTCCGTTCTAATGAGAATTTCCAAAATCTAAGTGCTCCGTTGGACTTAACTATGTAGTTCTCGGATAGAGCCCGAACTGAAATCTTTTTTAGGCTGAACCTCTTTCTCGGTTTTTAACTTGTCACTATCCGTATTTACCCCAGACACATGTTGTAGGTGCGAGACCGGCGCGAGCGCACGCCCACGAAGCAGAGCTCGTCCAGCAGTGGGAGCCGCATGAGCCCCACGCCGGGCGCGGACCTGGCCGGCGACCGACAGTTCGTCGTCGTGGCCTCCGAGAAGCAGGCGCGCGTCGTGGCGCTGCCCAGCCAGAACTGTGTCTACAGGCAACAGATCGTAGAGACTGACTTCGTCGTCAAGGCCGAGATTGTTAGCTTGAAAGGTGCATTCAACATTAATAATGAAATTTACCGGCAACAAAGCTATATTAATTCAGATAATAACGATGAAGGTATCGCTTACAGACAGTGTATGCTTGGTGAACTACTTGTCGACGGGCCACCTGGTGGCATACAGCCTGCCGTCTCTGCGGCCGCTGGTCGACGTAGACTTCTTGCCGCTGTCAGAGCTCGGGTACGTGCTCGCCAGTTCAACGTAATCCGGCCTAGGCTGGCCCATTCCGGCCCGGTCGGGCGGTGCCACGTCCCGGCCCGGTCCCGGGACGGCACGTGGCGCCGTACGACCCCGCGCCCGAGTCGCACTCTCCGAATGACTGACCGGCGCCACACAGATCACTATTAGACAATTTCTATGCACCAAAAGAAGGCACTAAATGATAAACGGCTTGTTTTATAATATAGTACTTACCTTTTATCATTAGCTTCGCAGTTTTATCATGTTGAATGCTACTTGGGCTACAGGAGATATTTCATGTTTACGGTTATCGCATTCATTATATTGGTCATAAGGTTTTAGCTATACCGATCATTCGCTATTTTATCATTTGGGAGCCTAACGACAGACTTCCTGTACAGTAACGATCGATGTTAGAAACGTAGCCTTGTTTGGCGCAAGACACCGCACGCGGCCCCCGGCCGACCCCGGCCGACTCCGGCTGACCCCAGCCGCGCCCCGCAAGCGACGCGGGTCTGCGCCAAACAAGCGACGGTGTCATCTTATACATGAGACACGACGCATCGAGCTCGCGGCTACTAGAACTAGACAAAATTTTGCAGTCTGTCGAGCACCACCTGTGCTTCCGATATTTGGCACTCTTCTATTTTTCAGTTAAAAAGTAACCGATCGAAGGCTCTAACACAATACACGTTCTATACAATGCGCCGCTCTGGCGACTTTATGAGAAAACACCGTATCACTTTCTAACAACTCAACTGTTTATTTGGTGCTGCAAATGTCTGTGGATGTACATACACACCGGTTACCCGACACTACGCCACGGAATGCCACCGACACGCCCCGCGCTAGCCCTCCGACCATGTTACGATAGTGTGTACTGCCCTGCATCTCTTACATCTAACTTCTCACCCTTAGAACAATGATGGATTACTAACGTGCGCGTGCCTCGCCTTTGTGAGAGCCCAGTGTTGGCGCCCCCGGCCTGGCGCCCTGGCCCCGCGGGCCCCGGCGGGCGCCAGGCCGGGGGCGCCACACAAGGGCGGGACGCGCCGGCGATCACGCGCTCACTGCTGTCTGTGTTCCTGGTAGCTTCCAGACACAGTCCAAACAGAGGGGTATCGTAGACCCAATGCTGTCCATATGGGGCCAGCAGCTCATTGTTAACGAGGACACCGACCAGTAAGTCGCCGTCCATGCAGATGACATGCGTTAGCCACGTACCGTCACTTGTCATGTGGAGTCGCTCACTCCGGCCTCTGTTGCCTACTAGACATATTCATGTAACGTTGACAGTTGCTTCGTCCCCTCATCCCCGAGCCCATAGTTGCCCGCCCCGACCTCGCCTGTTCTCTATCATTGATGTTCCGCTCGGCCACGGGCAAATCATTGCGCGCTACGGAATTACTACGACTACCAAAATTGGCGATAGATGTAAAACATGACTCAAAGCAAAATTATCTGTTACATGGCGACACACCTTGTCGTATACGAGTGACATCGCAAGTTATGTCGTACGAGGCCGGCGTAGCGCCGCGCCGCGCGGTACCAAATGATTTGCCCCCGGAGCTGCCCTGCACGTGTGCTTCCCTAGTGCTGGTCCGGCCCTGTCCCGACACACACACACACACTCGTGTACAGTGACACGCACTCACCCTCACACTCACTCTCTGAGACCTCTCCTAGTCTCCTACTTCCTGGCTGGGCTGCTACTCTGCTCTGTTTCGTGTTGTTCTTACTCGTTCTTCGCTTGCAGCATGCTCGCTATTGGATGTTATATTTTTCATTTCAATGTCGATCCTGTCATAGAGTAGTCGCGATAGAACTCCATAGTTACGCTTATATGTTAGAATAAAGTTTGTCCAATAGACTCCCGACCGTGGAACGCAAGGATACATCAGGTGAGACGTTTCAATTGATAGACATCTTTCCCCCACTTTAACAACTTCGCTCTTGGTCTATGAGTCTACCTTCTCTTTCTTCTTGGACTATGAACAATATATACGCAACATACAAACGCCAGCCTGTACCTCGCGACTCCTCTTGTAAAACGTTCCTCGTGTGTGGTATTGCAGGATCGCGAAGACTTTCTGCTTCAGCAACAGGGGTCACGGCCTGTATCTAGCGTCCCCTACAGAAGTACAGAAGTTCACCATTGACGCCGAGTTCTGGTCAGTATATACTCGGCCACCGGCCCAGCAGGCCTTGCTCCGTATGGAGACGCGTGGTGACGTCACGTCCTGTCCTCATGTTACAGTCAGCAGCTGAACGAGATGATCGGCGAGCTGTTCCTGCCGCGCGACATGCCCGAGCCGCCCAAGGAGAGCTTCTTCCGGGGACTGTTCGGCGGCGGCGCCAGGCCTCTCGACCGGGAGGAACTATGTCAGTATCCACAACGAGCTATGACTAGATATAACACAAGCCTCGTGTGTAACGTGGTGGCTGGTTGCAGTCGGCGAGAGCAGCGGCAAGCCCCTGCGCACGGTGGCCAAGCACATCCCGGGCGGCGCCGCGCCGCTGGACGCGCTGGGCGCGCGCGCGGGCTCCGCCGCCGCCGACGTGGCGCGCGCGCACCAGCTCGTGCTGGAGCGCGGCGACAAGCTGTCCCAGCTGGAGGACCGCACGGAGCGCATGCACAACCAGGCGGCCGAGTTCTCGTCGTCCGCGCACCAGCTCATGCTCAAGTACAAGGACAAGAAGTGGTACCAGCTGTGAGGCGGCCGCGCCCCGGGGCCGGGCCGACCGCGGGCTCGACTCCGCGAGGGGTTCTGGCTGTCGTTGAATGCCACAGAGTGCTTTATTCTGATATTGTAATAGCGCGACGATCGCTTCAGTCCCGCAGCCTGGCTCCCGGCGCGCGGTCTCGTCGAACGCACAAACTACTCCGCGAAGTCCCCGACTCCGCTCGATGTCGGAGTGTGTACGCGACGCCCCGGCCGGCTCGCTCCGCATTCGGTCGAGCGATGTGATAATGTAAATAAATCGAAACCATTCATAAATACTAATTTACTTAAAACTCTTTTTATACAAGTAATACAGTAGTGTCCCGCCGGTAGCTGCAGCATGTCGCCCTGCTCCCTGCGTCCCCTGCAGCAAGCTACGACCGACCATTCGTTATATAACTATACAATAACGTCGCGACTGCGAGACTAGTGCTGCCAGCTCTCGGCTACAGGAGATTAATTCAATGTTGCTATTACATACACGTAGGTGTACATTTATAGATACAATAAAGTGTAATGTGTAAGGATAGTCGACGATGTTGATCTGTATAAAGTAGGTAAAATAATATAAAGAAAATAATAAATTATAAAGATTGGAAGTTTAAGCATTGGATGACAATAATTTTTGTTACTTCTCACTGGAGATTACTTTGACAGCAGACGCGTAGTTTCGTTTCAGTTCGACCCACGTGTCGCCGCGCCGCAAGTTGTCGCGAGCGCCTCGTCTCCTTGCTGCCTGTAGCACTTGTCGTATGTTGTATCAGAGTACGTCGCGTTATAGCAATACTGCGGGCTGTCGCTGCCGCCAGCCCGCAGGAACCAGACCAATCGGTGTCGTATCGGTGTTGCTAGCTAAAATTATACAGAGTAAAAAAGCGATAACTATCATGTATAAATTAATAGTAATATAAAGCTACGTTGTATATCGCCGGTATTGTATAAGTGAGCGGCGAGGGACTGGGCCCGCGTGCCACGTGGCAGTGGTCCAGTCAGTCGGCGCTGTAAGTCGAGTAGTAATGTATCGGTGTATCGCGGCAATAATCTGTCCTGTCTGTGCCACTACATGGCGCGCGCCGCGACTGTACCCGCGTGTCTCAGTCGATGGCCTTCCTTACTTACTTAGCTTCAACATAGTAGCCCTTAGCTGTGCTAGTTCACCTTGTAATTAGTTTTATTTGCAGATATACTCCATGTACGGATGATGTCGGATGCCAAACTGTGTACTCTTCTATTGTTCATCCTGGTATAATTAATGGATAACGTAATGAATACAAAATGAATAGTAATCGCGTAATGAGTTGATGTAGGGCGGACGTGCTCGTCACGCGCTGTTCCTGTATTGGAACTGTATCACCTGTACTGTATTCCTGTATCACTGTTTTAACCAAATTATTTTGTTACGTAGTCGTCTCGGACGAATTTTATTCAAGGAATATTTTCATATTAAATTTTACAGAATTTTATGGCTCAATCAGACTAAATAGCTAAAGCGTAATTAACGTACTCTTATTTCGGTTAAGCGGACCCACGCCGGCATGGCGCCGCCGCCGCCGCATTGTATTCGAATGGCATATCAGTGGTACCTATATATCACCTTATCTGACTTTATGGTAAGATCATATAGTTTTGAGATGCTGCTTTCCACGTTTTCTACTTACCTTTAAATATGATATATATTCATAAATATTGTAAGAACGGAAGTATTATTTCTCTGCGTCATGTAACACTGCATAGGAATGATCAGTCTCTAGGACGAATGTCTAGCCGACAGTTCTATACATACAATGCTCGCTAATAGAATTTATTTTTATCATAGAAATATAAATATTGAAACCAAGTTTCATTGTTGATACAGTAAAATTGATTTGAATGTAATGAATATTATTATGAGCCGTGTGTCCGCAGCCCCGTACAGTGGCGCGGCTGCGGGCAGACGGCGCCCGCCATGCGCGTCTAGTCCTCGTGACGTCACCTCGTGTCACTCGTGTCGCCTCGTGTCGCCTCGTGTCGCCATGTACCTCATGCTCCGTGCAATATTATTACTATTTACATGTAAATGACAAGTTAAGTTTCTCAATTCTATTACTTGTTACTGGTAGAGGAAGTTCGTTGCATGTAGTCGGCAGTCTGCGTAACGCGACTAGCGCTGCTGGCGCGCCACGGTTCCATTACACACGCTGACGATTCATTTGGAAATTATGGGACTAAAATATAAATATAAGTATTTGTAAATAAATAATAAAAGAAACAAAAATCTTGTGGCAAATTATTACTTGTTATGTAACGACGACGTGTAGAGTTCATTTCAATATGATTTTGTATGATCAGAGGACGAGTGTCTCTTGTCTGATCGTTCAGAAACGAGGGTCATAAACAAGTATAAAACTATACATATTGTATATAATGGATGCTGTTGAATTATATTGATTATTTAGTTTGGTAGATGATTATTATAGTCATTATATATAAATAAATTATAAAATATGAAAATAAAATTATATCAAAGTATCGAGTTGTTTTATTACTTACAGAAATTGTTTGCAGGCTTGTTTCCGCAGTCAACTACAAATCTGGAGTAACTACTATCTTGAGGGATTGCTCACGTAGATACGAGTACTGAGTAAAGCTCTACTACTACTAAAGTTACTAACTACATATTATTTCAATACCTGCATATAAACAGTAGAAATTCCTAATTAGAAATACTTAAAAATAACAGAGTCCGGTCCTGCTGGACTGGTACCTCTAATAGCTGAACGGCTCCTTTTTTTGAAAAAAATCTTTATTTAATAAGAAGGGCTTTTTTCCGTAGAGGAAAATGTCAGCCCTATTATAGGATACAAAATTCAATAAAAAAATAAAGCAGCTAAACCTTTTGTAGGTTTAACTATCCCTTAAGCTCAAACACAAATTAATTAAACTATACAATTTTCTAGCGTCAGATGACAATGGTGACGCTAAAACACTGTTATAAAAACCAATATTAAGGCTCTTAAAACTAAAAACCTGATTCCTCTGAGACTCAATACGTCAACATTCCTACAAAATGTGTTGCACATCCTCTACAACATCACATACAGCACAATTTGGTGATTCGACTTTATGCATCATGAATCCGAAACTATTAAGAGGCATGTGTCCAGATCGGAGCCTTAAAGCTGTGACGATATCTTGTCTACTCATCCCGCCTTCACCGAACCAGAGGAGACGGCTCCTTAACCAACAATATTACTATACAGGTGCCCCTGAAGTCGGCGATCAAATGACACAAGGTATTCAGAAAGTTCCAACAGTTTTTAAATTACAATGACTCATGTGTTTACCACAAAAAGTACACCCTGTGCCAGTCTTTTGACTCTTGTTACTACAATTATTTATTTTTCGTCTGTATTTTTGCTTACGTTATTATAGATACTAAAATAGATAACCCTAAAGCACCCTCACAAACTGAAAAAACTAAAAATAATATTAATATATATATATCATATTCAACAAAAATTAAATAAGTTAATAAAAAAAAATCCGAACAGTGCTCCAGAATTACAGCTCCAGATTTCGTCTTGGGCACCCATCGATATGTCGTAGACGTTATTTGTAAACGAAAATGCTTGTAATGAATCTGCAGAAGTGCATTACAATAATTCGACAAATAAAACGACTACGACATATCGCTGGGTGCCCAAGTCGAAATCTTCTGTGTGCGGTTCATCAAAAACAGCTAACGGCCGAAGATTACGGCAAGTTCCTGAAGTCTGTACCACAATCACATGAGCAATATACCTACATAAGACTACACTATAAAAAAATCCAAGAATGCTCATAAAAATGTTCTTTGCTCAGAGACAAATTATAAGAATTTTTTTTTTCTTAAAATTCAGAAAAAGATTATTATAAAAAACTGTTTTCGCCGCCATTGTGGATTGCACGGTTGGTGCGGTGGCTGGGCAACCGGCTGCCGTGCAACGTGTCGCGGGTTCGATTCCCGCACGGAACAACACTTTGTGTGTTCCACAAATTGTTGTTTCGGGTCTGGGTGTCATGTGTATGTGAACTTGTATGTTTGTAAACGCACCTAGATAATCCTAGTGTGGGGCAACGTTTCTTTATAAAAAAAATGTAACACATTAATAAACAAATACACTAGTTTAGGAATATAATTCTATGATTATAATAAAATTAATTTGAAAAGCCAAACAAAAATTCCTTTTTTTTTTGGAAAGCTGCAGACAGAACGGCAATTTCGTAGGTTAATCGATACCTTCGGTTCACTAACAAAGTGGATGACGGGAACAGGACAGGTCGTGTCGTAAGTATGGTGTTGTTTGGATATCTGCCGCAATAAAACAAGTTATATTGAGCAACTTTTTTTAATAAAACTTTAACTATGATATAAATACAATAGAATACATACGAGCATTTATTATGTCTCGGGCGTGTCGGGCGCGGCGCTGTCGCCCGGAAGGCACGATTCTCGTTTGGAACGGCACTACAGCTGTCTCACATCGCGACGAACTATGTACATGCACATTGCACGAGACGTCATCACAACTTGCAGTGCTTTCAAAGACAACATACTAATTATGGAATCGAAAGTTACAATCACTTTACCTTACAAATTCTGTGAGAAACAGCGGATAGCATTTGTCGAGGTGAGTGGGAGTACGCGGCGGCCACCGTACGGGCGGCCACGGTACCAACGATGGAGGTACAACGTTGGCTACAGCCGACAGATACAACTTGTGTACAAAGCGTAGACTAGTAAGCAGAACATGGAGGACGGTCGCGGTTAGCTGAAGTAGAAATCCAAAACGTACACATTATCACAAAGTCCTGTACATTGTATAAGTCGTCCAAAGTGTTCGAGCAAGCGAACCGAGACATGCAGTCGTAACGATCACAATATGTTATCACACTCGCCCAATACAAAACACTAATGTGTATATTTCACTAAGAAACTTGACTAATTTATCCAAAAGTTACTTTTGTATTATATTTTGTAAATTATCTAAAACCAACCAACTTGTACACTCGCCGTACAAGTGACAGCTGCGTGACGCTACTGTCCGGCAGGGGGCGCGGGGCTACGGGACGTCGAGTGTCGCAGTATTGACACGCGTGTGTATGTACCGGGACTACGATACGAAATCAACAACATTACCTACACGCTTACATTTAGTTAAATATAAAATTTGACAACAAGACCCAAAGGCAACTAATTGCACTAATACAATGTTACGTTCACAGCGTCCCATGCTAACACTACAGTACTCCGTGAGATACAACAAACAAACAAACAACCATACATACATACATACAAACATACACACACACAGACAGTCCGTGTGTACAAGTACCGCGGCCGGGAATGAGTAGTGAGCTAACTGTAGACTATACGATATGGACTTCAATATGTCTGCGGTACATTGAAATGTTCACAACTTACTACACAGCCACACTGCCTTCACTCGTCAAACAACAAAGTTACATAATCAATCCAATTTAGATTCAAAACAACTTGCTATAAGGTGTACATTAGTGTGGCAATTGATAAATATTCCTTGCAAACAATTATATTGCACCAATTGTTAACATTCGCTAAGTCAGACCCGCCCCACGACCCACGTCACTATACTACTACTAGCTGACACACAGCCCAGTACATGCTTCTGGTAGTACTCATGTTACTGGTACTATGCATACTACAGGTGATGTATCCAATACCTAGGCAATGTATATTTGTGAATAGTGGTACAAGTGTTTAGACAACATATTATATTAAAACATTACGTGTGTACCTCCTAGGGATTGTATACACTACACAGTACACAACGTGTGGGGGGGGTTCATTTAATGTATGCTATACACAATACTAATTTATTCAACAAAACAACATTATATTTACTATATTGCGCATCCCGAGTCACATTTTGGCTTTAAACAGGAATCAAACAAGTATTCGCGACATTTGGCACCGACCAGACATGCTGTGTAATACTAAACCCATTCTTGCAGTCCACGTGATGGGAACGAAACCAATCAATACTAACCTATTGATATATCGAGAGGATATGTTCACAAACTATGTCTAAGCGGGAAGCGAACGCGTTGCGGCTAGCTAGTAGCTAGTAGCCAGCACTAGGAGCTACCTAGCATAGCGCTATACAGGCGTCGCCGGGAACATACGGCAACATAAGTACGCGGAGCGAGGGACTGCGCGACTAACAGAAAGCTGCGCCTGCGCCTTCTGCCTGCCGCCTGCCTACTGGCCACTGGCCACCGGCTACTGGCCACCGGCTACTGGCCACCGGCTACTGGCCACCGGCTACTGGCCACCGGCTACTGGCCACCGGCTACTGGCCACCGGCTACTGGCCACCGGCTACTGGCCACCGGCTACTGGCCACCGGCTACTGGCCACTGGCGGCACTGAGATCAAGCCTTGAATATTACAACAACAGAGACAGAACGCAGTAACAGGCGTAGTGCGGAGTGGCTCAGTAACATTCGCTACAATATCAAACAATTTAATACACGGAGTAAAGCTCGATAATTGTCCAAATTACATGTACTATATACAAATATACATGTTGCGACTGTGATCGCAGCCTTTGTCCATACTAGGGGCCCTCAACGTGTCCACAATGTGTCCACACTATGTCCACAATGTGTCCACACTATGTTCACAATGTGTACACTCTACGTCCACACTATGTCCACAATGTGTCCACACTATGTCCACACTATGTCCACAATTTGTCCACACTATGTCCACAATGTGTCCACACTATGTCCACAATGTGTACACACTATGTCCACAATGTGTACACACTACGTCCACACTATGTCCACAATGTGTCCACACTATGTTCACGCTACGTCCACACCGTGACAGTGCCAGGCGCGTGGGGAGACACCGACTGACAGACTGACAGACTATCTCTATGTCATTTGTTCAATACTAATAGTTTATGATATTTGTATTACTTTACTTAAACTAGTAATGATTACAAGTATATGATTAGGAAATACTTAAGTATGATTTCTTCCCTGATTTATATTAAAAACTTACTTGTAAGACACATCGAATTCGATATATATATATATAAATGCAAATTTCGTAATCACCGGCGAGCCTTACGAGTAGTTCATCACTGATAATCACAACGAATTCCTATAGACAGGTATAAAGGAATCGATCACAAGTCTTTTACGGAGTCGCACGTTACGAGAATTTGAAGGTGAATAGATCTAGAGGAGAGTATCGCAACGAGCCGGGCGCGGGGGCGCGGCCGCCGGGGGCGGGGGCGCGGCCGGGCGCGGGGGCGCGGCCGGGGACGCGGTGGGCGAGCGATCAGCTCGGGGGCTGCGACTCGGCCGGCTCCAGGTTGGCGTTGACGATGTTGGCGATGGCGTCCGCGGACATGGCCGACATGGCCGTCAGCAAGTTGTTGGCCAGCTCCACGCTGCAGGCCTCGTCCATGCGCGGCGGGGCGGCGCCCTGCCGGCCCTCCAGCTCCAGCGCGCGCAGCCCGGGCTCCAGCCCCGTCTCTGTCACAAACAGCTCTCGTGACGTCACTGCGCCAGACAGCGCGAGTATTATATACTAGCGAGGGAGTACTGACCGTGCGCATGCGTGTCGGTATAGGACCAGAAGGGCGAGAAGTCGTCGTCGGGCGCGGCGGGCGCGGGCGCGGCGGGCGCGGCGGGCGAGGGCGCGGCGGGCGAGGGCGCGGGCGCGGGCTGCGGCGCGAAGGGGTCGCTGTCGTCGGAGAACTGCGCCCAGCCGTCGGCCGGCGCCGCGGCCGCCGCCGGGCCGGGCGCCGCGGCCCACGCTGCGGGACAGTCGCGGTCAATGCGTGGTCTAAGGGGGTCGGCCCAGGACTGGACTATACGTACGGTTCTGTTGGCGCAGCACGTCGAGCACGTCGTGCTGCGTGCTCGGCTCCAGCTCGTCGTGCTCGTCATGCTCGTCGTGTTCGTCGTGCTCGTCGTGCTCGTCGTGCTCGTCGTGCTCGTCCTCTGCGCCCTCTGCCGAACACGGCTCGTCCCACATACTGGAACAAAACGAAACAATTTTACTACACAACTATTACCAAACACATTCCTGTATTCTGAAGCAAAACATCAATGTTCTGTGTAGGTTGCTTTGTTATATTTATACTAGACTAAATTGTCACTCACTCGTCATCAAATCGTTGGTTGGCCAACTCTAGGAAATTGCTCTTAGCTGCCCTCATCTGTAAGTACAACCATGAATATCAAATATCAAGTATGCAGTATACGGTGAATGTTCCTTAATAAAACAAGGCTTACCTTGTCCGCATCGTCAACGCCCAGTCCGTCCGCTATGAAGTCGGGAGACTCAGCCGACGAGTCAATAGCGCCACATACCTACGAAATGGTCATACAACATTAGTACGACGCATACATTTCCGATTCAACCTTTGAGTGTGCAGTTATACTTATAACTTTGTGAGTTTTTTGATGTCTCCTAAGCAACAATAATAAAAAAACATCTACCTATCAGTATGTTCAGCAAGAAAATTACACAAAGTCACAACAATACGATTATAGTAATAGATATCTGTAACATTATGTAGTATGTAATGTACTCACATCATTGGCATCGTCAGCGTTGGCGTCGTCCGGCAAGTACAGCGAGCCCGCCGACACCATGTCGCTGAACTGGACAAACACGGACTTATAGTACACACACACACGGACTTATAGTACACACACACACGGACTTATAGTACACACACACACGGACTTATAGTACACACACACACGGACTTATAGTACACACACACACGGACTTATAGTACACACACTCACGGACTTATAGTACACACACACGGACTTATAGTACACACATACGGACTTATAGTACATACACTCATGGACTTATAGTACACACACACACGGACTTATAGTACACACACACACGGACTTATAGTACACACACACACGGACTTATAGTACACACACACACGGACTTATAGTACACACACTCACGGACTTATAGTACACACACACACGGACTTATAGTACACACACTCACGGACTTATAGTACACACACTCACGGACTTATAGTACACACACACACACGGACTTATAGTACACACATACGGACTTATAGTACATACACTCATGGACTTATAGTACACACACACACACGGACTTATAGTACACACACTCACGGACTTATAGTACACACATACGGACTTATAGTACACACACTCACGGACTTATAGTACACACACTCACGGACTTATAGTACACACACACACGGACTTATAGTACACACATACGGACTTACTAGTACACACACTCACGGACTTATAGTACACACATACGGACTTATAGTACACACACTCACGGACTTATAGTACACACACTCACGGACTTATAGTACACACACACACGGACTTATAGTACACACATACGGACTTATAGTACACACACTCACGGACTTATAGTACACACACACACGGACTTATAGTACACACACACACGGACTTATAGTACACACACACACGGACTTATAGTACACACATACGGACTTATAGTACACACACACACGGACTTATAGTACACACACACGGACTTATAGTACACACACACACGGACTTATAGTACACACACACACGGACTTATAGTACACACACACACGAACTTATAGTACACACACACACGGACTTATAGTACACACATACGGACTTATAGTACACACACACACGGACTTATAGTACACACACACACACACACAGTACAATACTCACGTCGTAGTTGGCCGCCATTGTGTCCGCCATGATCTCCACCTGCGGAACAACATTAGACACTAAGTACTGTATGGAAACATCATTCAGTATTGGCACACAATGTCGTCGGCGGTGTTCCGGAACCGATACCCTCAAACCTTCAAGAAAAGATTCGACTATGCACTTGTGACTTCTCTAGTGTTGCGAGTATCTATGGGCGGCGCTGATCGGTCACATCCGATCTGTTAGTTTGTCCCCGGGACTACACAAAACGCACTCACCTCGTAGATGTTTTCCGACGGGTAGTAGCCGCCCTGCAACAAGGAAGACAGCGGTGAGCGAGTGTAGCAGTGAGTGCGCCAGTGCACCAGTGTACCAGTGCACCAGTGTACCAGTGCACCAGGGTACCAGTGCACCAGTGCACCAGTGCACCAGTGTACCAGTGTACCAGTGTACCAGTGCACCAGTGTACCAGTGTACCAGTGTACCAGTGCACCAGTGTACCAGTGTACCAGTGTACCAGTGCACCAGTGTACCAGTGTACCAGTGCACCAGTGCACCAGTGTACCAGGGTACCAGTGCACCAGTGTACCAGTGTACCAGTGCACCAGTGTACCAGTGTACCAGTGTACCAGTGCACCAGTGTACCAGTGTACCAGTGCACCAGTGCACCAGTGTACCAGTGTACCAGTGTACCAGTGCACCAGTGTACCAGTGTACCAGTGTACCAGTGCACCAGTGTACCAGTGTACCAGTGTACCAGTGTACCAGTGCACCAGTGTACCAGTGTACCAGTGCACCAGTGCACCAGTGTACCAGGGTACCAGTGCACCAGTGTACCAGTGTACCAGCGCACCAGTGTACCAGTGTACCAGTGTACCAGTGCACCAGTGTACCAGTGTACCAGTGTACCAGTGCACCAGTGTACCAGTGTACCAGTGCACCAGTTTACCAGTGTACGTACCAGCGGCGTGTCGAGCTGCTGCAGCAGCGGGCGCAGGCTGGCGTCCAGGAAGGCGGCCCACCGGGCGGCGGGGGCGGGGGCCGGGCCGGCGGGGGCCGGGCCGGGCGGGCCGGGCGGGCCGTCGGGCGCGGCGCGCGCGCAGACGCAGAGACACTGCAGCACGTGGCCCATGTAGGCGGCGCGCGGCCCGCGTCTGGAACAAGGCGCGGCTCTACTCGGGGACGGACACATGTAGCGCCATTGGAACGGCTATACATTTATTACACGCTAGGGCCTCACGTTTATGAATACACTAGCTCTTACCCGCGACTATACGATCATGACTATGAATAAATTGTATTCAGTTGATTAATTTTGTATTTTTTCTTTAAAATCCCTGATCGAGTTGAATACTCATATTACTCCTTGAAAACCCACAGAACTTCATTTTTGTTTGTTGATGCCAAAAATTTTATATGGATGTAGGACGCCATAACTATTACAAATCATCAAGTTGACTACCATCCCGTCAATTATCCATTTTCTAATATTCTCTATTATCTAATATTCTATAAATCGGCCTAGTGACTTTCACGCAAAAGGTATAAATATGCCTTCGCGAACTTTTATTTAGAACTAATCAAGGCAAACAATGTTACAATGTAACTCCTATAATTTAGGCAGCATACGCCCATATAAGTCTCAGACGCCCGATTAGCTAACATTTTAGGTTATATTACGCCCAAAATAACATAAAGTCATTACATATGATTTACATTACTGTGAATATAAATTAATTATTTTTTCATAATTTAACATTTCGCGCGTATTTCGTGAAAACGTATCAAACAGCGGACGCCATCATTGTTTTGTAGTCATGAGGTAATTACGTCAGTATTCATTCAGTAAACTACAGCTGACACTTTTGTTTACTGCCGTAATGACGTCATTAGCATGGCGGCGATATTTCGTATGTGTTCAGAGACAGATAAAAAAAAACTTTAAACTGCAATAATAAAAATATTTAAGTACCTTGTGAAGTGAAACTAACATTTCCAGATTGCTTTGCCTCTAAGCAATCATTGTAATATACAATAATTTTTTTTTCTCATCTAGACTAAAATACCTTAACATATTATGTCTTATGAGAGTGACAATACAAAATAGAACATATAAATTCGTAAATATGAATAGACAATAAATACGGGGGAAGTACGTACTTATTGTTCTGGTTCTCCTCGAAGACGTCCATGAGCCGCGTCAGCAGGTCGCACTCCACCAACAACTGTCAACACATCGCTCAGGTCATGTTGTCTTGTCTTGGTGATAAACAAGATTCTCTTTGAAGCATATATTAGTAGTATTGGTCATATTTGAAATACATAGAGAGTATGGTTACAGATAGGGAGGGAAGTGTGTGTAGTGTATGTACTCACGTGTCTGGCGTACTGAGTGCGGTACACTCGGTTGTTGAGCGCGTTCTTGACCAGCGTGTACACGTGCGCGTGCAGGAAGTTGTTGGCGGGGTACTGGAAGAACATGTCCAGCAGCACCGCCGGCGTGCCCAGCGTCAGCAGCGTGCTCGCCACCTCCTCCACCTCCGACGTCGCCAGCGCCGCCAGCAGCCCCGCCACGGCCACGCGCGCCGCGCCCACGGGCCCCGGCCCCGCGCCCACGGGCCCCGGCCCCGCGCCCACGGACCCCGTCCCCGCGCCCACGGACCCCGGCCCCGAGCCGCCCGCCAGCAGCGCCTGGTGCAGGAGCGGCAGGTGCGGCGCCACCGCCAGCTCCACGGCGGTGCGCTCTGCGCCGCCGCCCGCGCCGCCCGCGTCCAGCGCCAGCAGCGCGCGCAGCAGGCCGCAGCCGTGCACGAGCGCGGCGCGGCGCAGCGCGCGGCCGGCGACGTGAACATGTCGCGCAGCAGCACGCGCGGGCCGCGCGCCGCCGCCGCCCGCGCCAGGGCCGCCGCCGCGCCCGCGCCGCCCGGGCCGCCCGGGCCGCCCGCGCCGCCCGCGCCCGGCGCGCCGCCGGCGGCCGCCAGCAGGTCACAGAGCAGCGCGGCGGCGTTGGCCGACGCCACGGCGGCCCGCCGCGTCCTCACTAACTCCTCGCCGCTCACCACTTCTTCGTCGCGTGAAAAATCTACGACACACCAACGAAATTAATTAACTTCTCTTTAACACTTGCGGTGTTCTCGCAAGCGACGCATTCACCTGAACTGAACGAATTCCTATCAAATATTAATATCAAATTACTTCTCAACATAAGGTACATACTTTAGTACGACAACTATTATATATCATACTAAGCTTACACAGGACTTACAGAGCTCTCACGAGCGACGTAAGCGTGCTCGGGACGGCGACGTCAGTTAGCGGCGCGACGTGCACGCTGCTCATTAAGAGTCCCATTGTGACTTCAAACTAATAGAGCATTTCTTAATTAGTTCACATGACTCCACCATTAAATTCAAATATTGAGTCACATGAAATAATGTATGAACCCACCAATTTAAAAAGAACAGACAAACAAGTTACCTTGTTTTTCACCAGCCCCTGTATCAGGCTTGCGATCCTCAGCAGCCTCAGTCTTCTCGCTGGGTTCATGGTCGGCCTTCTCGTGTGACTCGAGGGGCGCCTGGTCCTCCGCCACGTACGTCCCGCAGACTATCTGTATGAGGCACTCCAGGAACTGGTGCTCCTCGAACCACTAACAATATTACGATCGATTAATGTCTTGCAATATTACATGGCAACCCACTTGGACCATACGTCACTGCAATCACGAGCCGCATTGTGTCGTGAACCTAATGTCACATGGACCACTCTCGTGTTTGGATATTTTCTGTACTAACACAAAGTATAAAGGCAACAACAAGTGACATGCCACCAGATTACGTTTCTATGATAAGTCGTGTACTGATACTGGTGCAATACAATACAGGTCACGACTGTCCGCCATTGTGGCGGCGGGGTGGACGCACGACTGTCCACTACAATAACTACAATGGCAACAATATTAATGAAAGCACAAAGTATCGTAGCGAGAACAAATGAAACACGTTGCTTGCAGGTCGTGTACGTGCTGTACGTCACTCGCGTCGACATACAGTATTCAACACCCAGCACATCATAACAAGTTAATATTGTATTCAGTAGGTAAATTGATCCGATTGATAATACAGATCTTACACTTATTGTTTAGTTAGTGTTAGCCTTGAGATGGCTCACCTCCATGACAGACTTCTTGAAGAGGTCATCGAGTCTGATGAAGTACTTGAAGGTGTCTGCAATGGCGGAGGTGCACATGTGGCGGAGCAGGTTGGGCAGGAAGTCTCGCCGCGACTTGAAGAAGTCCAGCACTCGCAGGCACACTATGTGGTACAGGTAGCAGTCCTGGGAAGCGTCCGCAGCAGTTGATTAGTTTGTATTCGTATAATGCTATGGTTACACTTAAATGAGAAAATTCGTCTTCATGTTGTCACAATAATATTTGGTGTTAGATCTGTGATGCCTCATTGACAGGATGCATATTCCTTGGCGACGTGTTGTAGCAAAACTCTTTGGGTGTTCTCACAATACTGAAAGCCTAGCTTGTGAGGTTGCTTTTCTCTTCCCAGGTGTTACTAGTACCTGATGGTGCAATGCAGCTTGCTTCAATAAATTATCATTACTAGATAAGCAACTACTTAAATGGACTGTAAAGCAGTAAATACTTCATTGGTTGAGTGGTCACAAGGGCCACTGCTGAGGATTTAAGACAAGGATGTATGTGTGGAACCTCTGCCAACCCCTTCAGGGATTTAAAAGGTTATTATTTTTATTACATTATTAGGAAGGTTATGATTATTGATGTCCAGCGCTTATAATAAACTAGCTACTTCCGCGTAGCATGATATTTTACATAGCCTATACTATAGGCCCTATAGCCTTCCTCGATAAATGGGCTATCCAACACTGAAAGAATTTTTCAAATCAGACCAGTAGTTTCAGAGATTAGCGCGTTCAAACAAACAAACAAACTCTTTAGCTTAATAATATTAGTATAGATAAATTATTAAAGTGAAATACAAATATATCCAAGTTACCTGTTTGGGGCTCCGTTCTAGCAGCATTTCCACAGTTTTACTAAAATATGAGGCCAGCAGTGGGTTGAGTGGGGGGTCCTTGTTGATGAAGTCACAGAGCCGGTTCATCTGTGTAGCATCCATGGAGAGCCGATCACTCAGCATGGACAGGTGACTGGTGAGCACCTCACATGCAATGTTGGCATGTCGGTACTGTGAGGCAAGCTCTACATTCTTGGGAGGTTCCTCCGTTATGAGGGTTATCAGCTCCGCCAGCACTTCTGGCTTTGTGAGGCTGAAAATGATCATTCATAGTTGTATACATTTCTTATGTTAAGTGGATAAATATGGAATACAGTGCAGTCTACCCTCCACAACCAGGTACCCTACACAGCTAAGGATACTCACTGTTCAAAATATCTATACCCAGTAGTATTCTAGATAGAAGCAAATTGTAATGTATACAGGTAACTAAACCAAGCTTATTGTTTTGTTCAAGTGTCCTTACAGCAACAAGACATTCATTGTAAAGGGAGTTGACTTTTAGAGTTTCAAGATTAGAAGAGATCAGCCCGACTTTCAATACCTTGGAGACGTGGAGTACAATACTTCTGCATTTAAGCAGTCATTCAATATGAAACATTTGCAAGTATGCATGAGTCACCAGCACCAGACACAGCACAGCCAGCCGACGTGGTGACTGCTTACTGACGGTACTTACAACTGTATGAGCGCTTTGTTGTCCGCCTTGCATTCCTGCAGGATGTCATCCGCCTCCAACACTTGCGTCAACGTTACGTTCTGGAACAAAAAGCGCACTGCTCACATCCACAACACTTAGCAACACCTTGTTTCACTGCACTGTAACTTCACTTAACACCACAACGATGCTTTCCCTACTCAAATAAACTTGACTAATTACGAAATAATACAAGAATTCACGGTTTCAACCTCTCATAACCATCAATTTTTCAAGAAAATACGCACCTCTTCTTTGAGAAGAAAATTTAACTCCCTAACTACAATATAATTTCCGCTCCAAAACATCGTTAAAATGGTTAAGTACAACTCATGTATTTATTCTAAATCCATAGAATACTTATTAAATTTATAAATTTTAGCGTTCTTGAGATTACAACGATCCGTTTTCTTTTTGACAGTTATGTTGCTAGTGTTGCCATGCCATGTAATGAGCTAATGAATTTGACAAAATAAGCAAGTTCATTTTTCAGAAATATCACAACACTCATTATATTTTACAAATCTATATACTCAAATGAAAATAAGAAAAAACAAAACCTGTAGTCTTATTGGAGTTGGATTTTTTTTAAATCAACAACAGCCAATAATTGCCTACTGTTGAGCAAAGGACTCTTCTCAAAACGGAAAAAATTTGACCTTTGCTTTGAGCATTATTTACCACGCCTACTCAAGGCAGATTGGCGATATGAAACTTATAATTAGGCCCAGATTTCTTTACGATGTTTTTCCAATGGTGCGGGGAGCCTAAATCAACTTAGAAAGTACTTATCTAGTCAACATTGATAAATACTGGGTTTGGAGAATGAGAAGCGGGATCTTAATCATACATACATAACATCACGCCTTTTATCCCCGAAGGGGTAGGCAGAGATGCACGCAAAAGCAACACCCACTATATTATGAGTCCCATGTAATAGGGGGTGAGCTTATTGTTATATACCGGACACAATTCCAGACTCCGTGCTATTACTGAGATTTTTTTAAAAAAACCCAGTAATACTTTGCCCGACCCGGGAATCGAACTCGAGATCCCTTGCCCGGCATTCGCACTTGCGACCACTCGGCCAACGAGGCAGTCTTAATCATGTGTTGTGAATTCGACTCCAGAAAGCGTCGCAATCGTAATCTTTGAAAATATTGCTCAAATAGTCTCATAGTCAATGTATGTACATACAATGTGCTGCCATACTGGTGGTACCGGTGTGTTTGAAACTGGAAGCCCAAGATGTAGTGCTGCAATTATTATCACACTGTTATTTTCATACTGTTATTTGTCTGTTAACTAATTTTTTATTCAACTAGACAGATATTTTAGAGGGCAGTTTGTGGTCACTATAAAATGATAATCAATGTAAAATATATTTCTTTATTTACAACCAGAACATAAGTTATCGTTTGGTTTGAAGCAGCTGCATAGCGAGTGCCTCTGCTTCGCTGACGGACAGTGAAGCCGAGATGTCCTGCACCTTCTTCACCTTCCGAGGCACACTTGCCTGTGTCTCCAATAATTTTCGCTTTGTGGGCCTGTAAAGATTACAAAAAAGATTATGTTGAGTTTTCCAGTAACTTAGGAACACGTACCTATAGGGTCCGACCGAAGCTTCGGCTTCGGCTACCTTCGGCCAAAAAGCACCTTCGGCCAAATCCGAAGGTTTGGTCGAAGCCGAAGGTTAGCTAGTTGTCAAAATTTTGAAATTTACTGGACGATGCCAGAGCGAGACGGAGAGTGTGCAGAGCAGCAGAGTTTCGCCGCGCCGCCGCCGCACCGTCCCAAACGAATCGCAGTTAGTAAACAAAACGAGTCAAAACAAGTTTAAGAGGGCGTCATAAAATCTAATAAGTGTTTTTAAATATTTGTTGTTACAAATTATTTTATTTATTACTGTGAGTAGTACCTGTGGTGATACATTCATTATTGTTGTTCAATATGTATCTAGTATATTCTGAGATCAATTCAAAGTAACTATCGTATTTCTCAAGGTCACCTTCGGCTTCGGTTTCGGTTTTGGCCGAAGGTTTTGGTGAATACTGATTAATCGGATTCGGCTTCGGCCAGAATTGCACCTTCGGTCGGACACTAGTGTCCGACCGAAGGTGCAATTCTTCAAGGAACCTACCATTATGCTACCTACCTACAATTATGCTAAAAGAAAATCTGTCAAAATAGTCAATATTCTCACCTGTGGAAATTTTCCTCTACTTCTGAGTCATCACCAGATTCATGATTAGCTTCATCAGATACTTCAGAATTCCTGTCTTCACCAGATTCATAATCAGCTCCATCAGACGCTTCAGAATTCCTGTCTTCACCAGAATCACCGCTGTTGTCTCTACCATCCTCTTTGCCATATATTTTATCAGGATCAGGTAGCCATGACAGGTCTGGGCCGTCGGACTCAGACTGTGATCCAAAGTCATCTTTCTCACCTTCATCTTCCTTCCTTTTATTTTTGAGTTTACGTTTCTTTTCCTTGTGCTTGGCTCTTGTACTTTCTCTAAATTTGACTTTGTCAATTTTGTCTTCGTCTTGCATTAGCATTTGTGTTTTTTCAAAATGCAAATTTGAGGAATTTGCACTCGAGATCTGTTTCAATAATTCTGGGTCGACATCTTTATTTTCTTCTTCATCTACCTCCCCTTCTTCTGTAAACTTTACTGTTTTATTTATTGTAATATTTTTTTTCAACAGTTTTTTAACAACAGCTACTTTTGTTGATTCTACTTGTGGTTCTTCAAGAAGTTCACCACTCAATTGAATATCAAAATTGTTTCCTTGAAAGAAATCTTTCCCATCTGTATCTTTAACATTGTGGAAATCAAATTTCACAAATCTTTCTTTAATTTTTTGTTTTTCAGGTTTCTTTTCAACATTAATATCAGTGACTTCTTCTTCGCTTTGATCAGAATCTTCTTTATCAGACTCAGTTTTTGCTTTTAACTTTTCAATGACATTGTTGTTCTCTTGCTTCTTCTGTGCATACTGCTGCTTCTTCAGGAACTTAATATACGGAGGTACTATCAAGCCCAGAGACCTTGCATATGAATCTGTGTCTAAAAGTTGTACATTGAATATTTCTTTGTTTTTCATTAAAAACACTGATTTTAAATAGCTAACAAAAGCTCTCTGTGCACTTTGCTTAAGCTCCATACTGTCAGATAGTAGAGTTTCTATTTTCTTTTGTGGTGCTATAACTTTAGATGGGTCTACTTGAATCTTGTTGATGGGTATTTTACTATTTTGTAGATGTTCCACAAATTTCTCCTCATGTGGCAAGAGCATGAGTAACCCTTCCCCTTTACCAGTGAATCCTCTTGCAGTACGGCCCGCTCTGTGAATGTAGGTTTCTACATCTTCAGGACAATCCATTTGTATGACCCAATTAACGCGGGGAAAGTCTAGACCTCTAGAAGCTAAATCTGTAGCAAACAACACAACATTTGATTTCCTACAAAACTCATTGTAAATTTTTTCTCTTTTCTCTTGATGTAATGTCCCATACAGGGCCAGTAGGCTCACTCCAGGCCTTAACTTACAGAACAACTCGTATATATACTTGACTTGTTTACATGTTGCCATAAACACTATAACTTTCTGCTTCAAATGATTCTTAATAAAGGACCACAAAATCCCAATCTTGTCTTCAATCTCAGTAATGATGTAACTCTGCTGCAGCAAGTCGGGAGTCACAGTTGCGGCTTGTTCATGTGGGGCGATGTAGGTTGGGAAGGATAAGCTGAGGCGTGCCAGGTCCTTGACAGATTTTGTTTGTGTTGCAGAGAATAACAATGTCTGCCTTTCTGGTGGTAAATTCTCAATAATTGCATTCATTGTTGCTTCAAAGCCCATATCTAAACACCTGTCAGCTTCATCTAGGACCAAGATTTGCAAGTGGCTGCAGTCAAATAGAGGGTTCTCATCCATGTGCTGCAGAAGGCGACCAGGGGTACAAATTAATATATTTATTTGATCCATTCTTTTCCGTTCAAATTTCAAATTCTGGCCTCCAATAATGAGACCTGCTGAGAAGTCATGCAGGTGTCCTACTTTCCTTAAGGCTTCATATATCTGGTAGGCCAGTTCTCTGGTTGGTGATATAACCAAGGCACCAACACCATCTAGTCTTGTCCACTTTTTACAGAATAAATTTTCCAGTATAGGTATTAGGAATGCCAATGTTTTACCTGACCCAGTCTTGGCAGCACCCAATATGTCTTTACCTTGTAGAGCATATCCTATGGCTTGCTTCTGTATTTCAGTTGGAGTCACATAATGATTTTCTTTTAGTCCTTTAAGAGTCTTCTGTGATAGTGGAAAGTCTTTAAAAGTTTTAATTTCATCCGGGTTTATCTGAAAATAAAAAAAAACAGTAGAGCTTTGTTCTGGATGTATACCTATATAATAAATATAAACATATGATTGTATCCTATTTAACAGAATCAGTGAACCGCGAAATTGAATGCCCATATTATTTTAGATGCACCCACTGCCTTGGTAAGTACGGATAGCTTTCACAATAATTATCATCACCACACTACAAAAGGTTGTAATATTGTGTTGTTAATTAATATAACACATGGTATTTATTTTACGAATAAAATCAGAAATCTTTAATGATATCAATTAATAGTAATTAATGGACATTATATTTCGAAGATTCTATACTGAATATGAATTTACCTTGTCGTACTGAGCCTGTAAATACTGTATCGCAGCATCTTCCTCTACACTCTTTTTCTTTCTTGGTTTATATAGCTGTAACTTTTTACTTTTTTTGCCTTGTCTCTTTTGTTCTTTGCCGTCTTGTTTCATTATTAAATTTATAGAAATCACTCAATATTCACTCAAAGTAAATACCACAGCATGAGAATAACACAAAAGGCGACACAGCAAATGAGATTGAGGTTAACAATTCTGAATGTTGACACTTGACAGTGTCAATTATGACATTAGACCCCTTTCTGGAAGAGACATGGACGTTTAGCGCATTTCATCGTGCCGTTCTGAAACTAAAAACCGTAAAAATGAATCTCCCTGATTTTTGCAATTCTTCTTTTTTACGCACTAATGTACATGTTACACATATATATGTTGTAGTATTTAAAATTTTGTAAATAGTATTTAAAAATGTAATTTATAGAGAAGTTTAAATAAATATATGGAAATAATAATAATAAGCATTTATTGCTGTTAAAGATACCAAAGGTGTAAAGATACAAAAGGCAATTCAGACAACAGTTTGCTTTTTATCGACATCTTGTATTCGTTGGAGACACATCCCTAGTCTCGGTTAAATAGATCGACATTACGCAGCGATTACGAACAACGCGCATAAACAATCGCAGCGTTGTAGTGGTAGGACGCGTTTGTAAAAAATCGAAAACTTTTACGAAAATAATTATTGCAACATAATTTTAATTTATTTATACCAAGTTGAACTTTAGAAAAAGGTAAGGTGTCTTTTTCCTTTATGTTAATTATATTTTTATTTGATGTGTTGGTGTTGCTGTATACAGTGATTGTAACGCAAGGGTGACTTAATATTGGAGATTTAGGAGAATCCTTTGTGTTGAATCATCTCACAGTAGGTAACTGAGACGCAACGGTTATGTTGTTTGTTTTGCGTCGTGTGTTGTCGGTTGTTGTTTTCTTTGTTATACCAATATAGGTAGGTGACACCAATTGGATATTGGTTAGATTTCTTCGTCAATTCACTTTTCCGTATTACTTACGTATTAGACTATTATTAGGTACAGTAATGATTTAGATTTAGCAAAGCAACTACTTCTCTAAGATTAATTAAAAATTAATTACAATACAATTTTGTTTTGCTGTCGAGAGACTGAGCGGTCTTCCTCTTCATTAGGTATTAACGAATTACCTATTTCATTGAAAAATAGTAGGTAAGTAGGACTTTGACTAATAAATATTTTCTATCTACCGACATGTTCGTATATCTGTCCCGACTTCCTCATTGTACACGGTAACAACTGCCTACCTACTATTACCTAGTTGCGGTCCGCTATTGTTAATCACGCCACGCGATTTAAGGCCAATATTGCCAACATTAATATTCCATCATCGTTCATGATGCTGATGAAATCTGTTTCCCTGTGGGGACTGCCGTATGCCTGCTTACTTCCGCATCAACTCAAGTCGATAGTTTTAATGTTGTTAGGGTCACGACTTGAGCGTTGAGCCTAACTTTATGCGGCTTCGACCGTGACTATCACAACTGTAAATACATAATAAACGATACAAGAAAATAAGATTGGTTCCTTTGACGCATGCCTCAGACTTAATAACTATTTTATTAACTTGATTTTATAAAAGTAATAAGTAGAGTTACATTACATTTCTTTATATTATTACCTAACACAATCTGTAACAAATTTTTACGTTCATACAGTACTTAAGCCAGAAATATGAAGGGCGTAGCGGTTCTGCTGTGCCTGGTGGCGGGTGCCTGCGCCGTCTCCTTGCTCGACCTCGTCCGGGAGGAGTGGAACGCTTTCAAGGTATGGCATATCTGCCTGGTCCCTAGATCTTTATGTATTACATGTCATTTATAGTCGGATGTTATGTTGTCGACTAAAATACACACTTACATACGTGTGAGAATTCGGTCTTTTGTTTATTTTAAAATTACGCGCTAATCAGTTGATAGACGATTTGAAGAATTGTTTTTATTTTTATGTTGTTATTGTTATTGAGGAAAATGATAAGCTAAAATATAACAAAATTACACCATCTTTTTAGAGATAAAAATTAATAATCCAATGATTTTTTACTAACTAAAGAAGTCCCTAAAATCAGTTCTTAGCTAACGATGAAACGCATTGAGATCAAGAGTTAGAGTAGAACACACTTAATGTTGATATCGTGGCTAAGTTTGGTGCGTGTGTAGATGGAGCACAGCAAGCAGTACGACAGCGAGGTGGAGGACAAGTTCCGCATGAAGATCTACGTGGAGAACAAGCACCGCATCGCCAAGCACAACCAGCGCTTCGAGCAGCGCCTCGTCTCGTACAAGCTCAAGCCCAACAAGTACGCCGACATGCTGCACCACGAGTTCGTGCACACCATGAACGGATTCAACAAGACCGCCAAGTGAGTGCCGTTACACCGTCACAACCTCGACTTTACTGTTAACCAAACTACATAAAGTAAGAAAGAGCTAGGGACTTTTACTTTCGTTAACAATACCTGTTCCTTAGTGGATTGCATCAGTCGGATGGTACATTTGACTTGACTTGACTAAGACTTGACAACATAAAATGAAATCGGGAATCTAGAAATTATAAGTAAACAACATGATTGTTAATGACATCCGTAAAGGTAGGTAAACCTATTATAAATATTTGTAATTGTAATTAGCTATGTAACGATGGTTAATTCGCTCGGCTGTCGTTATGTTACTAACAAATCAACCTAAAGTAGATACATCTACATAAACAAACACGTGGAACATTTGCGGTGTTATTGTGTATGGGTTACTGGTTATGTGGTTATTGCGTTGTTTTTCAAACGTTTCCTCGTAGGTCACATTGATAGCTTGCGAACGATCACCGGCAGTGATAACACTTCACTTGTGCTTACTGTCGCGACCACAGAGTCTCGTGACTGGAGTTCAGCTGTGCGAACTAATTTATACATATTTTGACACATTTCGTAGTGAATACATTGCATTAGGTATGTCCTTTAGTAACAGTAGGTACCTCAATCAAACAACAATGTTCAATATAATATTTACATTGAGAATTAGTAGGTATATATGGTCGATCTACAGACTCTGCTGTCAGTACATATTTATAGTACATAGCCATAGTTATATTAAAAACAAGATATACAACAAATAGAAAAAACATGGATTATAAAGAGCAGCGAGTAACAATGGTGAGTGTTGTCCATTCTTCTCCACCGGAACGCCTGTAGTATATAGGTACTTAGCTTGACTCCCCCGCTGAGTAAGACTGTACTTTGACCCTATAATCTAGTATTTAACTTTAAAAACCATTATCGACTCGACGACTCTCAAACAATAGAATAATGATTCATCTAAATTTGCAGAATAGGTAGGTACTTATCCAAATGAATAATAAGTTAGAGGGAAGCTTGGAAGTAAGCGCTGTTTGGTAATGTAGTATGAAAATTGACTCTATAATGTAATGTAATGACAATAAAAGAACAATGAATAGATTGGGTGAAACATATAAAAGCAAAAAGACTTTGTTAGATAGGAGATAATGGCAAAAGCCCAAAAAGAGACATTTTCCCGACCATTAATTAGGAATAGGGCAAGCAGAAGAGTCTAATCTATCTATCTAAGTATTTAATATATCTAACTACCGAGTAGGTACTATGTATTTATAACATAATGTAGCCTCCATTCCCGTATGACGTGACTGCAAGTAGTATGATGTGGTCGCAGACACGGCGGCCGGAACAAGGTGGTGCACAGCAAGGGCCGCGACGGGCGCGCCGCCACCTTCATCGCGCCGGCGCACGTGTCGTACCCCGACCACGTGGACTGGCGCAAGAAGGGCGCCGTCACCGACGTCAAGGACCAGGGCAAGTGCGGCTCCTGCTGGGCCTTCAGTACTGTGAGTCTCATTCCTTTGTTGCTCATTTCATGTCTCACACACGTTATGACGTCACACCTGACGTCCGCTACACGTGACCATCAGCATCATTGAATTATACATGTATCTACTATTGTTAGTAATCCGCTAACGCTGCCTTGTTGGTTGAGTGGTCACAAGGGCTCTCGGGTTCGACTCCCGGGTCAGCCAAAAAAATATCAACTTTCAATAAATAAAACGAATCGAGATTTTTTTCATATCAATCTATTTCAAACAAAGAAACTTTTCAGCTTTATTGTATTAGCATAGAATTGGCCTCCACGCCGTGGTCGTTTTACATACACGTGCCAGTACTGACACAGGTACGAACTAAGCGACACTCGTAGCTCGGGGCAGACGACTGCAGTACATATATTAATTAAATAAATAAATAAGTGGGGTGTTATGATAATGGAGTAATCTGTACATTTGTTTATTGTGGTTATCTAATTGTTATTGTTCGCCGGTCATGTGATGCCGCCGATAACTGGTATCGTATTATACGCCGTCTGCCGCGTATCGGAATGTCCGCCCTTTCCCTAAGTACCTATCTGTACCTACTGGATACTTCACTGCGTCACGTCATTACGGGGTAAAGCAAACTGAATAGTGAATGACTTGTTTATTACTCAGATAATAATGAGCACACAATAATACATGACAACAAAACTACTTACTAACTGCTATACGATGGGGGCGTATTATTGTTATGGTTCCAGACGAGGGTCACGAGAGTCGACTCGTTGCCTCTTGCCATTTATACATCATACAATATACTAAATAAACAAATATTTTTAAAATGATGAAATGACAAACGTCGCTGTTATTGTTCACTTGGCTTGAAATTCAGGCTGCGGTGTACTGCGATATGTAATAATAAATAAATAAAATATGTATAATAATTACATTAGTCAGCCATCGAGTTGTGAACTCGTGATGAATCACGCTGATTGCCCTATTTTATCAATAAATTCGCTGCACACGCAATTTCATGTAAATTATTCAAAACATTACATTTAACACGTAGGTACTTGTACAAACCTATGTCGATAACAAATATAATCTAATTATCATGTTTCGCGGGATTACAATTGTAAATTAGCTAAAATTATTTATCATCGTTATTTTACACTAGAAAACACACAGAGAGATGGCTAGAATACTTCTAACTTTCTAACTGATAGGATTATGTCCAAAAACAAGCTGGTTCATAAAATAGATCGGTATGTTTAATACCAATTTTCCATCTGTTGCTACCTAGCTATTGTTTAGACTTTAGAGTTCAAGTAAGGCCCCGTCATAATAAAACGTGGCGACCAACCAGTGCCGCAGCTGTATACATCCGCTGAGTAGCGCTGTAGAGTGGCGAGTGGTACATTAGTGAGTGTGTGTGCACAGACGGGCGCGCTCGAGGGCCAACACTTCCGTAAGACGGGGTACCTCGTGTCACTCTCCGAGCAGAACCTCGTGGACTGCTCCGCCGCGTACGGCAACAACGGCTGCAACGGCGGCCTCATGGACAACGCCTTCAAGTACATCAAGGACAACGGCGGCATCGACACTGAGAAGTCCTACCCCTACGAGGCAGTTGACGACAAGTGCAGGTAAGGAGCTCCTCCTCCCTCGTGTGGCAGCCACTACTGCTGGCCGCGTAGTACACGGCCCCGTCTATGTGCAGGTACAACCCCAAGAACTCTGGCGCCGATGACGTCGGCTTCGTAGACATCCCACAAGGTGATGAGGAAAAACTAATGCAGGCCGTTGCCACCGTGGGACCCATCTCCGTCGCCATCGACGCCTCGCAGGAGACCTTCCAGTTCTACTCAAAGGGAGTCTACTACGATGAGAACTGCTCCTCTACTGATCTGGATCACGGAGTACGTATTTCTAGCTATCTTACCTGTTTATGGTGTATTCAACATTTGTAGTGTATGCCAATGTAATGCTATCATAAACTTGGCTGTGGGCACTACAGTAACCAGTGTTTCGAGCCCTACAGGCCTACACCTACAATCTCCGACAGCTCACTACAAGTTTTCATTTAATTTTTGCTAGCAACTGTTCAAGCTCAAGTCCAAACCGCGCGGCACAGGGCGGCGCTGTGCCAACTGCTAGTCAATATTGTGTTTGCTTTTGTTGTGATGGACACAAAAGCCGCTATTTTTAAGATTGCGATAAACTTTACAATGACCTTTGTGAATATTTTGATAAATTCACTTCATTGTTATCGCTACCTACTCAATGTTTGGCCTACTTAAAGTTTACTGCTATTTATCTATCAAGTGCGGAATATGATCACGTTCTAATTTCGATATCCAATCCGTTAGATAATAGTAAAGTTATTATTAATTAAAACATAACTTACCATTAGTAATTAATTTAATTGGTTTAATAAAAATTGACCTCAATTGTTAGCTCTAGACATTCAGCGAAACGTAGGTACCTTGGTACAATAGTAATGTATTGTTGTGTCGCAGGTGATGGTGGTGGGCTACGGCACGGAGGAGGAGGGCGGCGACTACTGGCTCGTGAAGAACTCGTGGGGCCGCTCGTGGGGCGAGCTCGGCTACATCAAGATGGCGCGCAACAAGAACAACCACTGCGGCATCGCGTCCAGCGCCTCCTACCCACTCGTATAGACGATATTAACATTATCCACCATGAACACATCCCTCAATCTCTACACTAGCACCTAGCAGTTCGACTGATGTAAATTACTAAAAATGTGTGTTCAATGTAACTTGCAATTAAAGATATAACTAACTGTATGAGAACAATGGCAAGTCAGTCGCCAGACCAACATTCCACGAAGTTGTCGTGTCTAGAGTTAAGTGTAAATTTATGAATAATATATAATTGTATTATGTTAAGTTAGCGCAGAGTAATTAAGTAAAGCAACACTTGTGATATTATAGTTATCATCTCGCGTCACTGTAGCGTTGTTAGCTGAATATAAATAACATATTTTATAACAAACAACTTGTTTTATTACGTAATGAAAACTGCAGTGCCCTGCTTTTATCGCCCCCTACATGCACGCAATTATTTTATGGAAATGATTACTTGAGAGCTGCTTACATGTGCTGTACATAGAACAAAGTACGAAACGTCATATTCACTAGCGTCGAGGACTTCCCTAACTTTTCATATAGAAATCAACAGTATCAGCACATTCCCGCTACAGTTCCACTCATTATGATCCTCTAATTGTACCTTTTTATATTCCCAGTTGTCTCCACTGGTGGCATGATATACCCTTGGTAATAAATAGGAATACGTATCAAAAGGAGCATCAGGTACACCCAGGTACATACTTGGTATTGGTACCCACAATAAAATCGTCTGGAAACACAATCCATCGTGATTATATCTTCATTAGGTATACAAGCTACTACTGACTAGATAGCGTGCGAGTGCTCGTCACCTTGACCACGCTATATCAACTTGCTGCTATGTAGGTAGGTAGGTAGGTGTAGGTACATAATTTTCCTCAACTCTCTGTTGTCATTATTATTTCCATATCGAATTATGGAAGGAAAAGTTTCAATAAAAACAAACAGGATTATTAATTTGGAAGACTAACCAACTCAAGTTATGTTGTGTTCTGCATTCTATTTAGTAATAGCTTTATATCAATGGTAGGCACTCGTGTCCCATATACAACTGTATTATTAAGATGTCTATTGGTTTAAAATTAGAATAGAGGAGAGATGGATACAAATAACTAAAAGTAAGTACCTAGGCCCGAATGTGAATGAATGGCGTTTCATTATTTTCTACATTCTGCCTACACACAGTAAGTTGCCTGCGTACAAGAAGCCCTCTTGTGTGTACATTACGTAATTACATACAAATAACTTGTCGAACAGTAGGTAAGTCATTAAGTAAGCGAAATACAAGAACAACGCACGACACGTGAGCAGTGTAAGCAGTGAGTTGAGCCGGATACATTACATTATTCTTGTGGACGCTAAGCATTTTTTGTTGTTGTTATTTTTTTATCTGCGAACAAATCGTTATTACGTCAGCCTATTTAAATATAATGAGTGATTAGTTTTTGTAGCTTCGGAGTGATTCCCCGTACCTACAAGTCGTCGAAATGTTACATTATATAGGTAAAATAGACGTAGGTTACTATGCAACAACAGTGGAATCCAGTACGTATAGTTTGCCATCGGGGAAACATTCTACTGATGAGTAATAAATAGGTTACTGAAAAAAGCTAAACAAAACAATAATATTATTTTAAACAAGATCTGGGAGTCGAACCCAGTACGCCTTTGTTTATCACACTAACCTTATCAACACACATCGAGCACGTTTCGTGCGACAATCGAAGCCGCGAGACGTTGCTCAGCAGTTGGCCATCCAGCCACTACGTCCTACGTCAATCGGGCATTACCATCATAGTTTGGGAGACTTATATAAGATAAGTACTTATGGTTCTAGTAATGGACAATAAAGTTGCAATGAAACTAGTGCTGACACTGATAAACACTTTATTTTTATATTATAAAAGTATCGCAGCGGCTGTGGACACGCTGCTGCAGCTCTTCCATTCATCTCGATGTACTCCGAGCTACACAGACACCGCGCCGCTTACGGGCGGCCAGCGGCTAGTACACTTCCACCTTATTTATATTTACACTACCTTACTTACTATACTTAGGTACTGGCGTTCGATAGACTAGGTACAAGTCGCTGCATTATACAACACAACAATAGATCGTTACATGACCGGGTCACAGTCCCCGGCGGCGATGAGTCGCTGTTTGCAAACTGATGACACGATACTCTTACCTTACAACTAGTTCACATCTGAGTCAACTAAATAGCTGACCTCAAACAAATGTTATTCATTACAAATTTATTTATTCACTGATTAATCAAGCATTGTTTTTATAGAAACCAGAGCAACTTACATCCGACACACATGCTAACTAGAGGTACGGGCAGGGGGCGCCACTGTGCTCGCGGGAAACCAACACAAACATACAATTTTATATAAACAAAATATCTACACGTGGAACTCTTTGTATTCGTGTCAATTTCAAAAGCCTGCGCCTGTTCCACAATGTCCGATCAAGTTACTGTTTAGCTGATGCATTTTATGGTAAATTAAACTAACAGGGACATTGTGAAACTATAATTTAATCTCTGTGGGTACTGACAAACACGTAAATGTATAATTCTAGTTGAATGCCTAAGGCACTATGACCCCTGAAACTGTTTAAGTACATACATAAAGAATTCTCTGGAAACGATAAAGACTACGAGCGTACAGTAGCTGCGCATGTTGCGTGAGTTGGCGCGTAGTCCGTGTGGACCAAACAACTACTCTGCTGTCACAGTCCGAGACAAGTCATTCGTGTCGTCATACCAACAACTCCATCTAATACGTTACACAATATCATACGAATAATTATTTACAATACATTTTTGGCACTGATACCAGGTCAAGTAAGAAATATTTACAAGTTCAGTTGAAGTGACCAGTATATTTCAACTGAATGTTACATTAGCTACGAACTAGACATTGACAAGAGCTTATATTAGTGCATTAGTTGACTGGTGTAGTGAGCCAGTAAGCGCATTGTTGGGGAGGAGTGAGATCGGTCGGAGCCGGCCTTGGTCCGGGGAGGGGAGGGCGCGCTTACTATTTCTTCTTGGGCTTCTTGGGGTTCCGCGAGCGACTCTTGGCCTTGCAGAGCGGACAGATGGGCGCGTTGCGGTGTATCTGTTGGTGGCACGACAGGCACGACTTCATCGGCGGGGGCTGCTGTCTGCGGGGACAACCAATACTCAATCAATCAAGTAATTGTCATGCATATTGAATTATAGAAAGTCTGGAGAGTTGATCGCTGGACTCTGCCTGCTCAACTTTGAACAGTTCAGCAGAATTATCTTCTTCTTGATAAAGTACCTACTTTATTACCGAATACTTACTGAACTACTGTAGAAATAAAATGAAATCTTATGAAGATTGAAACCAAAAATCAAATTATAATTGTTAAATGAAATGAAAATTAATTAAAATAAAAAAATATTTAATTGGAATGTAACAATGGGAGGTAGGGACTAAGGGAAGCGGTGGGGAGGGGGGGTAGGGAACAAAACAAAAATAAAACATAATCGAACCTCAGCGAGACGGTAATGAAATCTTGGTCGAGTGCAGACCTGAACGCAGGCGGCGGAGGGGGCGGCTTGCGGGGCGCCGCCGGCGGCAGGAACCCGCCCAGGGCTCGCGGGGCCGGCGCCGCCGCGCCCGGCGGCAGCGCGGGGAACCGACTGCGTACGAAACACGCTGAGCTTACTTCACACTCACAGCATACAATTATGTGACTCTAGGCTTCTCTTACTTTTAACTTTGCGTTAATACTTTTATGAATAATGTGTTGGATAATTTAAAGCAAAGGCCATCTTATAATAGGACATACTCGGGAGTGATAGGGCTGCCTTCTTCTTCGTGCAGGTCGGGCAGGCGCTCGAGGCCGAGACACTGTCGCCGCAGCAGGTCCACCTCGGCCTTTAGCGGCCGGTAGTCCTCGTGCAGCCGCGACGCGTTCGACAGCTTGCGCGTCATGCTCTCCTCCGTTTGTTTGATCACAGTCTCCATCTGTTTACAGTTAACAATATTTTGTGTTTAAGAGCTACAACCATTCTTAGCCACCAAAATACATAACTTGTGAAAATAACTACAATCCACAATAGCATAGGCAGAGGTACCAAGTGAAACACATCTTTTACATGAAATGTTGCCATGACAGTATCTAGTACTCTCGTACTATTGTACAATAATTGTCAAAAACTTAATCAATAATATTTTGAAAAATCCAGTAATTGAAACTGAAAATACTCAACATACAAGGCACTCCACTCATCATTTACCAAGAGATTTACAGAAATTGGTAGGAATTTAGAGCACATTCACAAGACTGACAGGAAAAACAAACAGTTTAAAATGTTACAATTGTCGGCCAACAATAGCACATGCTTAAGTAAACAAACTCCCTCCTTCAAGTGGCCAGTATTAATAGCTCCGAGCTGTTACACCCAACTGTTACTGTTTGTCTGTGCCTAGTCAGTCTGCTCATTCACACTGCAATCAACACAAAACACTTGTCCTGGCAATTTATGACTTTTTAAAACAGACCGTACCGCATTAATGTCAGCATGTATTTGGCGCAGTTCTTCCACATGGCTCATCTTCTCTTGCTGCAGCAGCTCCATCTCCCGCTTGTACTGTGCTAAGCAGCGCCCTTCCTGGTCCCCGCTGCGCACTTCATTCAGGATGCTGCGCTTCATCCGCTCCAATGTTATTGTTTTATTCCTGTAATCAGATTCTTACTGGTCTATTAATGTAATAATTGAAACTTTTGACATTTTGTTATTTTTATCATCATCATAATAACATCTCGTATAAAGCAAAGGAATAATAAATGAAACATACCTAAACTTATATATCTTTCAGCTGTATTACACTGTGGCAATGGGCCACACAATTCTATCACATCAAAAAGCTATTATTATGAATCTCTAATAAAAACTTCTGAGAGAAATCCTATAGGTAGTATTAATAATTGAACACACTTGAATTCTGAAAGATTTAAGGATAGTAAATAAACTAATTTCGAGAAGTTACATGCACAAAGATCAACATAATGGCATAATTTACTTCAATTAACCTAATGTAGTAAGTATAACTACTTTCTTAAACGAAAGCATTTATTCTAAGTAATTATTTAAAAAATAGTATGAGCACATGAAGTCAAGTGTTTATTGATCGAGTCCACAGGTGCGAGAGCATTTTCATAAATTAGTCATAAACAAAACTACATACCTAATCTCTTTCATGGCTTCCAATTTATGATATATTTCACGTTCGTTTTCAGCAGTCATTTCTTATAAGTTGCTATTATTTTATCAAACTTTCGGAAGTCACACAAGATACACAAAGCCAAAATGTCTCTCACACTCACACATTTGTGAGATTGATTGTCTGTATTCTGGTATTCTGTCTGTTTGATAAAAGTTTCCATAGACAAAAGTTTGGTCCTTTTTGTACTTCATTGGTCATTCGTTCTTTCGTATTCATATCATACCATAGACTACATTTACATCAATCAACTATTCAGGTCTTCTACTAGACGTCTAGTCGAGTATACTTAATAGTTTAAGTGTAGCATAATTGTGTTATTTCTACACTACTAGACTCTAGTGTAGAAAAGTATTGGTTTAGATGAATTATTTTTCAAGAATAAAGTATTATTACTATTTACCATAAATATTTACACAGTGGTTAAACTTTAGTATGATATGGGATATGACAGCATGTTTGTAAACGAATATCTTGTTTATGGAATTCACTATGGAAATAAAAAAAGTATAGAAAGTAAAATGGCTGCTTGACCATTGATAGCGGCTTGCTGTCAAAATAGTGGAATCATTTTCGACGACGCGTCGTATACTTTATCTTGTATTAAAACAATCTGGATGCATGTTATTAATTTGCAGACCGAATGAATTACATAGTTTATACCGGTGTTAACTCGAATATTACCTTGCGGAGGTCATTTACACCTTCGCAACAGGCTTCGTGTCGTGCCCATTGAATTCCATTCGACACTGTTTACTTGTGAAAATGAGTGAAGAAGGCAGTGAGGACTCACCACCAAGGCCTAAGCGCAAGATCAAAAAAGTGATGGTGCTTTCATCAGACTCTAGTTCGGATAGCGATGAAAGTGTCGCAGGAGCGGGATCACGTAGGAAGAGATTGAGGGTGACTGTCGCGGATGTACGCTACACGTTTTCCCTATTTCTTGAACTGGACCGATTAACATAATATGCATATTTCAGGTGCTGAGTGATGAGGGTAGCGACAGCAGTGGTAGTTCGGTGGTGTGCGCGGGAGCTCGTCGAAAACGCACACTGCCTAAGCTGCGGGATTCTGAGGGCGACAGCGACACGTCAGGCTGGGCCACAGATCATTCAGACGCACCCAAACCGACGACGGCAGTGAAACCTACTTCTGGCTTTGCATCAGATAGTTCTGAAGGCAATTCTGACAAATGCTCAATTTGCCTAATGCGTTTCACCCACCAAGAAGTAGGGACACCACAAAACTGTGAACATATATTCTGTCTAGACTGTATCACAGAGTGGTCAAGAAATGTCAACACTTGTCCTGTGGATAGAATGAATTTTGATTTCATAGTAGTGAGAGCCTGTGCTGGTGGTCGTGTACTACGTACTGAGCCAGTGAAGGTGGTGGAGCGCAGGCCTTCTGTTGATCTACTTGTCATTGAAGATCCCACTATTTGCGAGGTACTTGTTTTGATTGCACTTATAATTTAATATTCCTAAAGACCTATATACTGAACTATGTTATTTGTGTTGCAGGTGTGTGGCCGCACAGACAATGAGGAGACTATGCTCCTGTGTGATGGCTGTGACCTCGGGTATCACATGCAATGTCTCACTCCCCCACTGTCTGAGGTATTCACCTGTTTAATACTTGTTTTGTCTCTTTCAGTAAGTGATTTAAACTAATTAACTTTAAACCACCTAAAAAATTGCAGGTGCCTGCAGAGCAGTGGCTTTGTCCCAATTGTGACAATCTATTAACAGATGTGGACTATATATTCTCTAGCATCACAGATGTTGATGTGCCATCTAGATCTAGTGCACTTGCCAGGGAAGGAAGAATTGTTAGATCATCAAGAAGTCACAGAAGTACAGATGAACCTTCCACATCTGGGTCCAGTGGTAGTCAATTGAATATTGATGACATACCAACAACATCTAGAGGCAGATCTTCTCGATCAGCCAATAGTACTACCTCAAGAACGTCTACAGCTAGACACAAAACTACGGCTCATACAAATCGTAGAAGACCAAAGAAAAGACGAACTAAAACTGTCATTATTGAGTATGAAGTTCAAGAAAATGGAAAATTTCCAGTAACTAAACGAGTTAAAAGGAAACTAAAGAAACGAAAGGTTAGTATCATAGTATGCATGTATGTCAAGTACAGTAAATGCTAGCCAGCCTCATTACTGGAGTTCTCATAATGATACAAAACAAGAAAGTAAGGCTAAATGTCCAGAATGAGCATTACATTATGCGATTATATGATTTTCTGAAATCTCTAAAAACTTATTCCTGTGTATCAAACAAAAATATCTAATTGGTATTCAAATTCTAATTTAAAACTATTTGTTTGTTGTTTTTCTTCTCAATTTTAAAAGTTATTTAATTGCATTGTCCCAGATATGTCGTCACAATCAAAATGTCATGAAAGAACTATCAATACTTATTAAACATTTTGTAAATAAATAAAAAAGCCAAATGATATTCATAAAATTCATAAATAATTCATTTCATGTATTATGTTAAACCAGCTTAGTTGCTTGTTGATTTTGTCTTTTCTGAAATATATATACTACGGCTGTAACAAATTTAATGTAAGCTATATTTATTGTGAAATGAATTTATTCTCATGGTTTCAAAATATAAACAATCCTGGTCCCTTGAGTCACAAGACTTTAACACATAGTTCCCGTTCTTGGGGATAAAAACTAAATAAAAACTGCAAGTAAATTGAGTTCAACAATAAATCAATAGGTTAGTATGTGATATGAAATACAAGGCTAGGCTGTCTTGTGAGTATGTATGCTCCTCACTTCTGTTACTATTACAAAGATAATAATTGTTAACTCTTGTTTTTGCATAGCTAGTATCTCATAAAAACATATGTGAATGTGTAAAACATTTGTACGCAGTCAAAGAGACGTCAGCCGCGCACGGCAGCCCGGCGGTCGCACGTCCTCGCCAGCGTGCGCGCCAAGCTGGCCAGCGTCGGCGCGGCGCGAGCCGGTACAGGCCCGGCGCGGGCCGCCCTCGGCGGCGCCGGCGACCTCGAGCTGTCCACACGGCGCCAGCGCGCCGGGATCCCGTCGCTGAGTTTGTTTGGCAACCCTCATGAAATCGAATATTTCTCCGAAGAGGACGAAGGCGTCTCTGAAAGCGCCAGCACGGCGGTGGCGGCTCGACCGACGTCCAACATTCTTAGTGCATACAGACAGGTGAGTGAGCTGTCAGTAGCAGTACGTGTATGAGAATAATGTTATATATTACATTAATTGTAACTTATGCTTTTAGGCTCGAAGAAAGATGATCTCTATTCCGTCTCCTCCACACGCATCATCGGCTCCTGACGTTCTTTCTTCTATCCTCGAAAGTCAAACTTTACTTCATTCAAAAAAATCTGTGGTATCAATTTCTGTAGACGGGAGTGTAAATATAAAACTAGAAACCCGCGAAAAGTTACCTAAAAAAATGACAGACGAACCAAAAGAGAATAAAAAGATTGATATCACGCGAGGGGAGGACGCTGCAAAGAAAGTACCTTCGTACCCTGGACAATCCCGCGGAGGCCGAGGCTGGGGCGGCGGATACACCGGGAACTACCACCGCGAGCAAGGCTCTAGCAACCTGAACAACAGAGGTGGCAACTACGATAATAACTACAACTCCGGAGGTTACCAGAATCGACAGGGGAACGCGTTCAGCCAAAACAACAACGGACGGCGTGACGACCAGGACGCCTACAACAATTACTCGAGGAGAGTGCACCAGTACCCACAGGGCGACGAGTCGCAGTTTGATCGGAACAGGAGACAGCCACCTGAACAAAACAGAGGCCAGAACAATCAACAGCGCCATAATGATCAAAACCGATACAGCTTAGCACCGTCGTGGCAACCCTATGTGCCGCCACCCGTCGGGCCTAGGAACGATCCTCCTATTCAACATAGGCACTCATTCGGAGGTTTTGAAAATCCCCTCGATATGAGAATGGGTCCAATAAGGCGACAAAACTCAGCTAATAATAACTCTGCAACACTCAACGAATCACAAAGCGTGCAACAGCCGGCCAGTAAGCCACAAGCGCAGCCGTACCGTCCTCTACCCGAGCCCCCGGTGTTTAACTTCAATAAAACTCCAGACCTCGATAAATCTGAGGATGAAAAGAGTGATTCTAGTTTAGTTATAGATACTGAAAAGTACGACCCCACGGAACCGACTAACGATGATGACAGTGGGGACGACGACACTGCCACCCCGGTGGCCATCGAGCCACAACCTAGCGCTGCGCCCCCAGCGCCCCCAGCTTCCTCGCCCCCCTCGGTGGGTGCTAGCTCACTGGGCGCCAGCTCACTGGGCGCCAGCTCACTGGGCGCCAGCTCACTGGGCGCCAGCTCACTGGACGCCGGGGTGCTGGACAGCGCGGTGCGGCAGGTGCTGCACGAGCACCGCGAGCTACTGGCGCCCCCCGCGCCCGCGCCGCCCAGTGCCAGCGACGACGACGACGAAGGCGACTGCCCTAACTTCTCCATATACTCCGCCACCAGCGTGCACATCGCCAACAACACGGCCGAGCTGCCGAGCGAGCCGCCGCCGGCGCCCGCCTCGCTGCACGACAGCCTGGAGGACCTGGTGCAGGAGGACGACGAGGTGCCCGACCCCGCCGAGCCCGAGCCCCGGCCCCAGCGCGAGCCCTCCCCCCAGCCCACTCGCACAGAGACTGTGACGACGCGCTACACTACTGATTCTATTTCTAAGAAAAAATCAGAAGAAGAATTAAAAGAGAAAGTCTCGAAGCGTTGTCCGATCACAACTAATCCGCGCAATCCCATAAAGATAAAGCTCAATACGCCGTCGTTAATTAAACGACAAGTCAGTCTTTACGATGAAGATTTAGAAGATGAAGAAGTGAACGAGGATAATGAGGTCGCGGAGACCACGGAACCTGACGTGGAAGCTCGAGACAAGCGCTCCAGTAGCGACCGCGACTCCCCACTCTGTGACGAGCAACTCTCCTCCGTGCCCGCACACGATTCTCAGTTGACCACTTCAGCCGAAGTCAACCACAGGTATTCGGATACGACGCAAGTAGAGCCTCAAAAGAGTCCTGCTGAAACAGAGGAGCATGCTGCCACTGAGTCGGAGGCAGAGCATGTAGACGAGGCGCCGGTCGCGGCGGCCCCCGCGCAGGACGAGGACACTCCGCCGCGCCGCTGCAGCTCGCCCGACCTCTCCGCCTCCGACACTGAGCTGCCGCTACTCGAGCGCTCGCCCAGGAAGGGCTCTGTCGACAGAACTGATGAACTTATAGAAAAAATGACTGAATCTATTAGTGAAACAGAAGACGAACGCAGTTATACGCCGTGCCTCGACGAGAACAAGTCGAAAGATACATCTTTAGAGACCGAAAAAGAAAAAGGCATAGAAGGACTAGACACCGAGATGATATCAGAGGACGAGGGCAACGGCTTGTTTTCCGACAACGAGCGCGCGCCGTCCGAGCAGTCGCGCGGCTCTCCAGCCAAGATACCCACCAACGAGAACGAGGAGGGAGAGATCGTCGACAAGAAGAAGGAGGCGCGCGTCGAGGACGGCAAGAAAAAAAAGAAGAAAGAATCCAAGAAGGAGAGCAAAGACAAGGCTAAGACTAAAAGCAAAAAGGGAGAGGTCGCCTTTAAGAAACTTAGCAAGAGTGGCAAAGAGAGGAACTATAGAGATAAAGACAAAAAACGAGAAAGGCGAGACTCCAGCGACGGAGAGCGCGAGCGAGCCAAGCAGCGCCGCAAGGAGCGCAGGAAGGATCTCGAGCGGTACGACGTCCGCACCGTCGTGTCTGACAAGCGGCGCCGACCCAAGGACGCCTTCGGTCGCGACGTATCTCCCCGCGCCCGCTCCCCCAGCCCCCCACGCCCGTCTCGCACATCCCGTTCCCCGCGCCCCCTCCGCGCCTCCCGCTCCCCGCGTCCGCTTCGCGCCTCGCGCTCCCCCCGCGTGCCCCGCGCATCCCGCTCCCCGCGTTTACCCCGTGCATCCCGATCCCCCCGCCTGCCTCGTGCGTCCCGCTCTCCCCACGCCCCCCGGGCGTCCCGCTCGCCCCGAACGGGGCGCCTCTCTCGTTCACCCCGTGCAAGCCGCTTGTCCCGCTCCCCCCGCCTGTCCCGTTCCCCGCGTATGTCCCGCTCGCCCCCGCGCCTGACACCAGTGCGGCGCGCCCGTTTGTCGGCATCTCCGCGCTCATCTCCCCGCGCCGCGTCTCCCACGCGGGCGCCTCGCCGCCGCCGCCGCTCCACTGAGCGAGAGAAGCGAGTGGAATCTCGCAAGCGACGCTCCGTTGAACGATCGCGAAAACGACGTCGATCAGGCTCCGGTTCTAAAAGTCCACGTTCCAAACCTACAAAAAGAAAAAAACGTATTCGTTCCGAACGCTCGGTCTCTCGACGTCGCTCTCCACGAAGGCGCAGTCCGCGTCGTCGTCGCGCCCGCCGACGCAGCGCCAGTCGCTCACCGGAGCCGTCCCCAGCAGGCTCTGGGGGCGTAGCCCCGGCCGCAGGCTCAGGGGACGCGGGGTCCGTAGACTCGCAGCTGCTGTCCCCGCGCACGCCGCCGCCGGAGCCCGAGCCGGTGCGGGCGCGCCGCCGCCGCGACCCCGCGCGCCACCGCCGCGCCCGAGACGCGCCCGGCCCCTCCAAGGAAGTGTTCACATCGGGAGATAACATTCTCGTCAGCGTCAGCTTCAAGGAGCAGGAGCGCGCAGAGGACGATGAGCGGCGGTCGCGTAGACGTTCACGGAGGCGACGCAGACGACGAGCCGCGCCCCCGGAGAGCGACGCGGCGGCGCCTCGGCCCGTGGCCATCATAGACCTGGAGCGCTCTCCCTTCCGCGAGCTCACTCCGTCCCCGCGCAACGTCATCGTGCTCAGCGACAGCGAGCCCGGGGAGAAGGAGGCGGAGCGGGCGCCGGGGGCCGGGCCGCCCGCACCCGTGGAGGCCGTGGGGCCCAAAACTCCGCCGTCCCCGGGCCGTGGCGCGCCCGAGCCGGCACCGGAAGCGGGCGAGGCGGAAGAGGCGCGTGGCCCCAACACTCCGCCGGAACCGCCGGATTCGCCGGACGCGTATGACCCGTACGAGCCTACACGCTCGGCCTCCGGCTCGCCGCGCTCGGCCCCGGCCGCCAGCCCGGCACGGACCTGTATGACGCTGGAGACGGCGCAAAAGACCAACATGTCGGCCGATGATGTCATCGACCGTCGCCCACTGTCACCCATAGAAAAGGTAATTGCATGTGTGTCGCAGTATAGGATATGGCGCAGGGCCAAGCAAGCAGACGAATTACTTGATAAGTAATCCGCGCCACCCATGGCCATTTGCAATATTAGCGGAGTTACAAAGAGCGGTGTGGTGCTGGCCTTTTGAGGATTGGGCCTCCACCCCTCGGTATCCCAATTCGATTTGAAATTAAACAACCATTCATAACATAACGTTGAGTCTAATGATTCCCATCGGCGTAGGCATTACAATATACAAGTTACTACTACAAATTATAAGTTATTGGTATATTAATTATGTTTGTAGGTGATGGCATTACTACAATCCACCCGCGACGTGTCCCCGGAGCCCCCGCCCAGCGAGGCGGCCGCGGCCCCCGCGCCGGCGCCCGCCGACGCCGCCGCCCCCGCGGCCGCCGCCACGCCCGGCGCGCTCGGGGCGCCAGCCACGCCGGCGCCGGCGCCCGCGGCCCAGGCGCCTCCCGTGCGCATTGTACTACCTTCACCTACGCGTTCACAGCCGCCTAAATTGTTCCTGGCCAAGCCCTCCCCGATCAAGTCGGATCCTATCAAACCTATGCAAGCTACAAAGATCCAGCGGCCGGCGGCGCTGGGCCCCAGCACGGCGGCCGTGGCGGCGCGGCGCCGGGACGGGCCGGAGTCGGACGGCGACGCGGACTCGCCCTACTCGCCGGGCTCCAGCGACTTCGGCGACCTCTTCGAGCCCCCGGCGGGCGCGCGCGGCGCCTTCGACGCGCTGCTAGACCGGCCGCGCCGCAAGCGGCCGCAGGGCGCCGCCAAGGTGCCGGTCAAGCTCAGCCGGAAGAAAGGTGCGCCTCCACCGGCCTGTACGAGCGCGTCACGTCCGCTGTCCGCTAACGATCTGTTTCTGTCGCCAGGTAAAACACAAGTGGGAGTCAAGATCGACGAGGACAACTTGAAGATTCTCGACGATCTCCCCAGCTCGGCCGTCGAGATGCAAGTGAAGAGCAAAGTGAGCAATCACGCTGTATATGTGTGTGACCGATATTATATTAACTAGTAGTGCTTACAGTAGTGGCTCGCATGTCCTGTGTGTCGCGAGTACTGATGTTGAGCTGTGTGCGTGATGTTTCAGTTCCTGAAGAAGTTGAACCGCCAGGAGCGCGTGGTGGAGGAAGTGAAGCTGGTGCTGAAGCCGCACTATAACAAGAAGCATGTCACCAAGGACGAGTACAAGGACATCCTGCGCCGCGCCGTGCCCAAGGTAAGTACCTTGGGAAGTTCTTGGGCTACGTTGGGGGCATGTACTAGTTATACATGTTATAGTACAATGTGTTGCCAATTTTCTTTTTTAATACTATCGCTACATATTTATGTGTTGTATAAAATACGACTTTACTGTTTCAGATCTGTCACAACAAGACGGGAGAAATCAATCCAGCTAAAATTCAAGCGCTCGTAGAGGCGTATGTGAAAAAGTTCAGAAAAAAACATAAACTGGGACTAGTTTAGTGACGTCAGTGGTGACTAGTGGTGACTGGTGGCTACTGGTGGTTACTGGTGGCTACTGGTGGCGACTGGTGGATAGTTGTATACATAGTGTAGCATAGAGAGAGGAGCGCGCAGGCCTGCCTGGCACTTCTATCAGAATAATATTGTAATTATAATTTATGTAATGACGATCTATTTTACTTAAACTTTTATTTAAATAAATAGTATTTAATTATGAAAGTAACACTAGACTATTTATTTTGATGATTTCGTTGTAAATACACCCAGTAGTGCGGAATGTGGGATTGTGTATTTTAAGATGGCCAGTACGCGAGTACAAACTTCTTGTTCTAATTTCTGTGGTGCCGAGTGTTTACTCGCTATTGGTACAATTACAATTACCGTACAATACATACAATACAAATGAGCTAAATACACATCATTGGAATGATTGTTATTGTGCATTTGATCTTTATTCCTTATTTTCTCTTTGATAATCTGTAGTAGTTCTTTCTTCAGTATAATAATGATGCATTGTACTTATAACATCTGATTTTGTAGTTAGCACTTACTCTCAAAGTAGTATTTAATAAAATTGTGTTAGTAACATAATCAAGTAAATCAGCCCCTCTTCGACTAGAATAGCTTTTTTTCGTGGTTTTACAATAAGAATGTTCTATTATTATACCTTTCCAAAATCACCATTAAACGAGGTAGTTTGTACGCTTGTTGTACAATACAGCCACATAATTCTTTTTCACAGCTGTATGTTAAAGTTGGGCGATAAGAAAATTATTCTACAAAAGCTGATACAAGAATTTTTTTTTCTAAAAACTCTTATTTCTGATATCAAAAGACCTACCTATAAATATTTTGATGTACAAAAATTACTAAAAAAAAAATTTTCACTGAGATATGCTAAAAGATGTGTGTAAAGGTAGGTAGTGATTTGTCGATATTTCTAAAATGTGGTATAACTTTTGAACCGTTGTTTGTACATGTTCGCTGAACTTACATTGGGCTGTTTAGGTAGGGATTGATCTCAGCTATCACCCCTTACAGTACGGTGCACTATTTACTAGACACCTGTATATTATATTGTAATACTTATTTATTTCATACATTATTCGTGAAATCGACTCGAAGACTCAAAACCGAAATTAATACAGACAACAGTAAATAAACTGAACTAAATATAAACTCATCATCAACAGCCTAGGTGCGGCCACTGCTGACCAAAGGCCTCTTCTCACCGGAGAAGGTTTGAACATTAATCACCACACTTGCTCAATACGAGTTATAAACTAAACACATAACATAACATCACGCCTTTTATCCCCGAAGGGGTAGGCAGAGGTGCACATTATGCCACTGCACAATGTAACACCCACTTTTCACTATTTATGTTATGAGTCCCATGTAATAGGGGGTGAGCCTATTGCCATATACCGGGCACAATTCCAGACTCCGTGCTACTACTGAGATTTTTTTAAAAACCCCAGTAATACTTTGCCCGACTCGGGAATCGAACCCGAGACCCCTTGCCCGGCAGTCGCACTTGCGACCACTCGGCCAACGAGGCAGTTATAGTTATAAACTAAAATACATTAAAATAAGTAAAATAGGTGAGTATTATTATTAGTAATGATTTAAAAAAGATTAAATTTATAAATTCTTTATTACCAGCCCATAGCATACATGTTAATCCAGAATATAATGACAATAAAATAAATAAATAAATAAAATACAGCGATTTCCATAGGACTATTCTAATAGTTCATATCATCATAAGAAAAGAAAAGTGAGTAGGTATGTGTGCATAAGAATGTGTGGGTGTATGTAGACGAGAGCCCGGCGTGCAAAGTATTGAGTTTACTATCGAGTAGACTTTAACAATTGTTCTACTTCGTGATAATTTAAGTCAACCAAATATTTTGTAGTTTTCGACTTCACTTCCCGCAGTGTCATGCCTGAATTTACAGTAATTAAAATTAAATTTAATAATTACATTTTTAATGCCACTGTACAATGTTACACTCATTTTTCAATATTTATGTTACGAGTCCCATGTAATAGGTGAGCCTATTGCCATATACCGGGCATATTTCATTCGTCTGTATTTTTGCTTAGGTTATCCCTTAATAGTACTTCAATACCTATTATGGAATCATTTTGAACTAACTGCTTTAGTTTAAAAAATAATATCATTTTTGATGAACCAAGTAGTATTCTCAATAAAATTTTCAACTTAGTTTAAGTGACTGTACTGAAAAAAAAATTGTACTGCGGTAGAAGTGGCTTTCACTAAAATTGGCGCATTTAATAAGGATTCGAAAATGTTACGTAACTCTCTAGGTCCATTACTTTTAAAATTCGATACAAATAAATATTTTTCAACGAATACCCCGTTTCGAACAATTTATTTGAACTTACTATTTATTCTAGTATTCCCAAAGCGCACTTGAAAACCTCGAATGCACTAGGCAACAATTTTTACGCGACATGAATCATCATTATGTTGCTAAATATGTTGGAAATAGGCGAGGATCTCTTATTGAACCACATCATCGGTCTACTCTTGGTTTCGTTCGCAGTATTCGTCGCGGCAATATTGTCGCTAAAGGAACAAGTTCAAGAACAACATCACGTCTCTTTTTCAGAATTTTTTGCCAGAGTCTATTTCCTGAAGAGTATAATAGGTTGCTTATAAGACGACACACTTATCGTAGACCGCATCATCACCAGGCGAGATAGTGGTCACACGTCGGACCATCAAATAAATAAAAAATATATTATTTTCTAAACTAAAGCAGTTGGTTCAGAATTTATGATTCCATAATACTGAAGCACTATTCAGGAGGATACGAGGCACTATTCAGGAGTACAGGAGGCACGTAAGGAAAAATACAGACGAAAAAAAAAATGTAGCATCAAGATTCAAAAGACTGGCACGGGGTGTACTTCTTCGTGGATAAAACATGTCATTGTAATTTGAAAACTATCTGACTTGGATTTTTTTCTGATAACTGTAGGAACCTTGTCGATCACCCAGTGTCATTTGATCGCCGACTTCAGGGACACCCTGTATAACAGCGCATTTCCCGATGTTCAAAATGTTTTTAGCGCGCTTTGTGCTTGTCAACGCAGCGTCACATTGAAGAGATAATTAATTTGACAAATATCTGAAAGGAGGCTGCCCTAGCCCTTTCGAGCATTTCGAGGCTAGCTAGGCATTTTTTGTACGGTGATTCGACTCTATATAATGTCTATCTCAAAGGTTTGCTCCATGAAGGCTGTATCCATGTCCGACGTTGGCGGATAACTCGCTTTCAACGGTCTTCGGTATTACAAGCTTTTATTTTATTTCCTGTATAAATGGGGCTTCAACAATAGGGGTTTCTCCTATGCATCGTCGTGACTCGTAATTCGCCTGCACATTTTTGTGCATGAAATGATTCAATATAGTTTCTTATACCACAACTATCATATTTTAACTCGACAACTAAGGAAAAGGAAGAAATATTTATGGAGTACACATGAATTGAAATTACCTTATGGAATAAAAGAATATTTTAACACAATATTTTATTTCTAAAATACAAACATAAAAAACATAAAAAGCATCATTGGCTTGTTTATTATTGACGCTACCGTCCTACAAACAAGACTGCACAGACTACTGCGCCATCAGACGGCGGGCGCGAACCCGATGCGTTTCCCTGCCACGTCGAACTCCGTGTAGTACTTGCCGATGAACACGTCGCCCAGGATCCACAGCGGACCGTTGGGCGGCGGGATGTCCAGCCCCATGAACCCGGACAGGCACACCGTCTTACCGAACTGTGTCACCTGCACAACAGTGTTTGGAATACAGCGAAACTTGCACACAAATAATTAATTCTTCATATACTAGTTTTATGAGAGCCCCATATACAGGTATATACCATTGGAAGTTTACAATGCATGATCGAACTCCGACAAGTATATCGTGAAGTCGCTCCGGTCGCAGAATAGTTTATTTCGAAGAGAGTACTCACGCGCAGCACGTAGTCGGCCCCCTCGAGCGTGAAGTGCGTGCCGGCCACCGTGAAGGTGACGGCGGGCAGCTTGGGGATGAGCGAGCAGTCCACGGCGTACTGGCCGAACGCCATCGGCGTCGCGCCCAGCGCCTTGTTCAGCGCCTCCACCTCCCCGCTGGGGCCCGCGATGAGGGACGTGCCCGTGTCCGCGATGGCCTCGCAGCCCTGCCCCCACACATTGGTACAATTAGGTTCGCGAGCTGGTGGCACGACAAACACACCCAGACACCAAAGCGATTACGAGTGCGTTGCCGACTGACCCAACGCACTGTTGGGAAATGTGTATGTATTTAAATAATTATCACAATTCTTTGAAGCGTGACACCTGTAAGATTTTCGATTTGTCTTGGCATAATACGCTCAAACAATTTAGTTAATGACAGTCGCCACACAAGAATATGATATGTTGTGTAACCTGTATTGTTGCAAGTAGCGAGCGTCGCATGTATTGTGTTGGCCAGTCACGGACAACGTGGTACGCGTCATTCTCTACTTGGCAGCTCTAGTCATGCAGTCAATCAACAAAGTTGCTTATGCTTTATTTATACTTTACGCTGCACTTTGTGAATATACAATTACAGTTGTCAAAGTATAGTAGTAGACAATATACAGTTCGAGGAACACTCACGTTGGCGCAGAATGCCTTCCCGTTGACTCGCACGGCGTCCATGTGGAACTGCCAGTAGGCGGCGCGGTTGACGGGCACGTACGTGAAGTTGCCGGAGTAGTGCGCCGGGTCGGAGCCGCCCAGGATGATCTCGCCGCCCTGCGCCGCGCTCGGGTCCCGGTTGAGGTAGAATGAGAACACTGGCTTCACCAGCCCCTGCGCCACCATGTTGTCAAACACAGGGGTCACGCTGTCCACTGAGATGCTGCGAACAATGCCGACCTTGTAGCTGCACTATTATAAACAATTTGATCAGCTGCTAGAGTGCTAGGTTGCGTATACATGTACCTGTCAATTGTTACTAAACGTATACCACTGCTTCTGTATACATAGTATTCAAAAATAACATAGGCAACAATAAGTATCAGGCTTACATACGGCATACCAACTTTATAATTCAGTGAACAACTATAGTATGGTGTCATGACACCATACTATAGTTTTTATAGGGATATATCATGATATATCCCAACATTTGGAGTGGACTTTATAAAAGTATTTATCTCACATCGGATGTCTGTTTTAAATAATTGTTAATGTAAGAGTTAGGCATGTTCCTATGTTTCCCCAAAAAGCAATGAGATGAGAATAGAGCAGAAAGGAGGATTCCTTCGATTGGCGCAGTAGCTGCGTTACCAGTTACTACCTGAAGTGAGTCAGAATGCGATGTGTATGATTTGTTTGCAAATTCAAGCATGTTGTTACCTGCTGAAGGCCATGCCGAGGATGCCGTCGAACTTGGCGGCCACGAAGGCGAGGCCGGGCTCCGACATGGCCTCGGCGAAGGTCTGGCCGCGCACCGTAATGCCGCCCACCGTGACGTCATCGCGCGACAGGAAGCCGGACAGGCTGCCGGAGCCGTAGTGGATGGCGAACTCCGTGCCGTTGGCGCGGTACGAGCTCGACTTACTACTGTCGTACTTGTTGTGGAGCACTGCGACATGCGGCGACATGTTAGCGACCCATGGCGCGCTCACTATTCTCTAATTTATTGGTACTTAGCACACAACTTGGGTACACAGACAAACCCGTTTAACATAATTAGGTATTTGCTAACTATTCTAAATATTAAATCTAAAATAAACGGATTCATATAGTTTTGTGAGCACAGCAGGCCAGGACGAGGACAGGATGTTAACATTAAATAACAAATGTGTTTATTTTCGTAAATATTATGTTCACGCTATCGCAGTAGTCACGTGAGGCGGGCCACTCGCGCGATATGAAACATGAAATATTTACAGCTTGCTTTGTTATTAGTTGGCTGATAACCTCATTACACTCCAGCGGTCGGCAGTGATTGGCGCGATAGATTGCAGAGTGACCGAGCGATGTACTCACGGCAGGCGATGTTGGTGAAGTGGCACTTCTTGGAGGGCACCCACAGGTTGGAGGAACCCGTGTCGAACACCACCTTGAAGGTCTGCGGCGGAGACCCGATGGAAATCGGCCCGTAGTATTGTGCCTGCCGAACACATCACACAACTGTTTCATACCTAGCACGTTACTTTCCACTCGCCAGACCTACAACAGTAACTGGGATATTTCTTGTAATTACTTTCAAGTGTGGGCAGCAATCCAACAAACATTGATTAAAATCGCCCCACATCCTTTGATAAAGTGACATATCTCAACTTAAACATGAAAATGACACAAAACATATGGCAAACTCCCTAATTTATTTTTTTACACCATCATATGGAAGTATATATGGGTAATCTTACAAAAAAAAGAATTTTTACAATCTGTCCATAAATATCCATACGCATGAATTTTTCATAACAACGCCTGAACTATTTTCAAAGCAATTTTCCACATGAAGGTGAACAAATATTTGCTATATCTTTTCGTTTTGAGATACTTCACTTTGTTATAGGGCGTGGGGTAATTTTGTATGGACTGAGATCCTTCTTTAGTCTAGGAGTAGCCCAGGGAAATAAAGGACTGAACCGCGCCATCACGGCAATGTTATTTAATAAATGATAATATTACCGTGGCACCGTTAATGCTGTACTAACCAAATCAAGTCAATTAATTTGTACCATTTTAACGTCACTCCCTCACACATGCGAGTGAACGGAGCCTTAGTAAATAATAATTTAGTTGCAATAACATTGGCAGGTAGATACGACGTATTTTGTCAGCAGAGCACAAGAAGTCTATATTTGTAATGCGGTTTATGTATGTATGTATGTAGGTATGTATGTGTGTATGCGTGAGCGAGCGACGAGTGTTCCGACCGAGACAAGACAAAGGTCAAGCGCGCCGCCCGGTCGTAGCCCGGGTTATCAATTATTTGTCATCAGACAACAATACCCATACACTTAGAACATACTTTGAAAATAAGAAAGGGAAAATAAAGTCGAAACGAAATGCTTAGTTCTCAGCACAGAAGACCATATGGATAACAAACATGTAAGAAACAAAAAGTGTCCGAGCCAGTGGAAAGCTACTCAGTTGAATAATCACACAAGCATATATCTGAAGTATTCTTATATTTTAGTTCATATTTTTTATTCTAATAAGTTGCAGCATAAAATCCCACTATTATTTGCAGTAGACAGACCAATAGCTAAATTCTCTAATAGTTACAATTGAAATATCACATAAGAAGTAAATGGATTCCTTTACAGAAAACTGAGCATTTATAAGTTGTTTGTGATGTGTGTTTCTACTCATAATGTCCTCAAGGACAAAAACCTTCTAGAAAAATTTAATTAAATCTTGTGATGCATCAGCAGTCCTGCAGCCGAGTATGTGACACCTCACAGGGTAACATGAAGCCACTTTGTGTGCACTAAGTAACTTTTGTGTATATTTGTGATTTTTACTTATTCATTTGTTTTCCATGGGCTCTGTTTGCCTTATAGGAGCTAAAAATAATTTTCAGTGTATGAACATTCACTCTAAAAGGTTTAAAATTGCCAAACATATAACCTACCTAGTAATAAAATAAAATGGAAAATTTCCACAAGATAGTGCCCTTTAAAATAAATATGACATTCTCATGTATAAATAAAAAATTATGAGTACATACATCTAAATAGTTTGACAGGGGTTCTGGAGCTGGTCCGGATACAGCATACTTGATCCTCAGCACTTGCAGGTCAGTCCCTACTTCTTGGAAGTGCTTGCGAACGGTTTTCATGCGGTACAGTGGCACTCTGCACAAATACAACACACCATAAGCTTACTTCGTGTGGTAGTGGTGACCTGGAGGTTTAAGACGCCCGCTTCTATGCATGAGGGTGCAGGGTTGAAACCTACCAATGGCCAAATTACCAATGTAACCTTGTCCGAGTTATATTTACTTTCTAAGATTATTTAGACGCCACTGACAAACAGTGAAAAATCAAACATTGTAAGGAAACTTGGGCTTATAATTTCTTGGGCTTATATTATAAGTCTGAAATTGCCAACCCGCAATGAGTGTGCGTGGTGAATGCTCAAACCTTCTCCGTGTGAGAAGAGGTTTTACTCAGCAGTGGGCATTTATAAGCTGTTGATGATAAGCTTACTTAAAGTTCAAGACGCAGGAGACTTTGCTCTTTGAAATTGGAAAAGCTTTGCATTTGATACATTGTAATACCGACTTTGTATTTTATATTCACAGATTTTTATGTTGATAAAGTAAAAACTAACTCCTAATTAGAAGGTAGTTTTATTCTGCTATATCTACCGAAAAATAAAAAATTAAACATTCATGTGAGTGGTACCTGAGAAAGCCGCATACAGAAGTGGCAGCAAGTGCGAGGAATAGTAAAAGTAATTTCCCCATTATTTCTTGCAAGTCACGCACGAATCTGAAATACAAATTAAATATAGACTAGTAACAATATAACAATAAATACCTTTAATTACCGCTATAAGTTACATATCTACCAGTGAGGAATTTTCTCCGCTAACGGAGAAGACAATGGTTATAACAAAATATAACAGCGTGCGTAAGTTTTTATTCGTTCGCAACAAAATTATTATAATTAGATTATTTTATTTTGCCGGCGCAATCAGATCGACAGTACCGACACAAATGATTTGAGTTGACTCATTTCACATTTGACGGGAAATGTGAATGTGAAGTGAAACCGTCATAGTGTCATTGTCATCGACGAAGTGATTATTTATGTCACAGATAACATATTGTTTAATTATTTGATAGTATTACAGTGTTGCCAAATAAACAGAATTTTTCATTACAAAAAATATACATTGCCTAGGAGGAATATTAGTGACCAGCGGATTTGCTCGCGATCTTGGGATAAAAACTACCCGTGTTAATTTAGACTATAATCTATCTCGCTGTTCATTGAAATCCGTTCACCCTTCGTTAGAGATCATCCCTTTTGACAAAGGATTTCCTGACCACTTTCCCCTTCGGCCCATCCTTATTCTGGGTCCTGGGTACATTCCTTTTTTATTCGTTTTTGTTATCTTAAGCCTGCCACGAAATCCAAATCACTGCAACTTCTTGAGGTATAATAAGCAGGTTTAGTAAAAACATAAAATGTTTTATAGGTCGGCAAGCAGCTAGTTACCTATCGAGTACTATAATATTAGAGCAACAGGCAGTAACTACCTCACAGGAATAGTGTTACTGTTAAACCAATATTTTAATTTTCTCGAATATTACATAAAGAGTTACAGTTACAAACATTTTTATAAGGTAGCCTGCATTATACAAAATGAATACTTTAGAAGATAACAAGATTCCAAGGAAATTAATAATAATTAAATAGGTAATAAAATGTCGTTTTTTAATTTTCTTTTGCAACATGCATATGCTATGCATACCTGTTAAACCCATAAAATGTTTACCTATAAAGGTATTTGCTAAACACTATAACTTTTTAACACGAGCGTGCGTGGAAAAGTAATGGGTCGGTTAAACTAAACCGGAATGATACCACGAGGTCACATAAACAACTATTGCATTGCTTCGCCATGAGTGAGATTACCAGACGTCCAATCCAATCACCTCCTCACCTCATCCCCCACCCCAAAAGACCGACAACCCTCTTTCGTGTTGCGGGTGTGGCAACGTCGATTGGTGATCCGTTTATATGAAAACGTCCAAATTGTTGGTGTCCATTCATTGGGAGCACTAAGTACTTTAGAAGTGAACGATGGCTACTTGTCCCCACTGCGAGCAATCAGTCATTCGATCATTAATAAAAACTAGGTTGGAGCCTTCTGTTTGGAGACTTGTTGTTTTGTCTTTAGTTAGCGTTACCGTACCGATATGGTTGATAATGATATAGGTAAAAACTTTCAGTTGAACAAGGTTGATTTTGCAATACCGTTTGTTTCATTCAACTAACAAACATACTTTAGGACAGTTTTCCCTTTCATTTTTGTACAAGATTGTATATTATTATCTAGTTCTCACTAATCATCTAAGAGCCGACAATAAAGGGTTTTTTTTATAATAACTATCGTGAGACATACTAAATCAACTAAAATCGCGGTCGCGGCAACGCTGCGCAACTCACAGGAAGAACCCCACTGTGGTTCGAAACTAGTAGAGCTTTTCTCAGTATATTCACGTGAGTAACCCGCGATTTTAGTTAATAAAGGGTTTACTGAAATATTGTTTAAATAAAAAAACAAATAATGTTTAAATCTTTTAATTGTTGTGACTAGTGTATGTATATTATTAGACTTTAAAATAATGATTTTACTTTTGTTACCCAAATAATAATGTAGGTATTTTCAAAATATATTTTACATGATCATTTAATAGCATACATGGAACTAAAGAGTTAATAAAACTCAAACATCGACTGTAGCAGCTATTCATTGGCTAATCTACTTACACAATATTATATTAAATAATACTTCATGAGTTGATACTCATCAAAGTAATTACATCTCTTTATATTATTTTTTTATGTACATAACATTTACAATTTGTAAATCGAGATCTATCATAATACTATAAGAGCTTACCCACGTAAAGTTACTGATTGTACCACATCGTAAGCCCTGCCATGTCCGATCCGATAGTGTAACACTTAGCTCATTTTATTGCACATTCATTTTGGATCGGATGGCATATAATACATTATAATAATAATTATGTACTTCTCCAATGGCTATAAAATAGTTTACCCTGCCCTGCCAATGGTATACGGTATCTATTGGGCACCGGATCAGTTTGACATTCCACACTTTGTCACAAAGCTGAATAGCTAGAGGGCAAGGCAGTCCAGTGAAGTAAAGAGATCCTCAATGGTAACACGTGAATACTACGACAACTGTTGAGGGAAACTAACCAAGTTCCTAAAATGTTCTTGGTGAACAATTTCAATTAAAAGACTTCATTCATTATTTTAAAAACCTCACCATACCAATGGATTACTTTTTAAGGAATCTTTCTAAACTACATTGCATCTAGATGAAAAAGTAAATTATACAATATTTGAAGCTTCCCTAAATACACATACATACAATATAATAACATCATACTCAATTTATATATGTATTTTTAAGAATTACGATAATGGTATAACATTCAGGTAAATAGAGCTAATCTTAGTGTTCATTTCCAAGCATCGCATTACTTTACTGGATATGGATTTTTGTGTCTAGTACTGCAGCGCCATCTGCCGGGCTGATTTGTGAATCTAAACCATTCCCAGATCCCCTTGAACACACACAATCGGTCCAGTCGTTTGAGAGAAGTTTAGTGACATACACACTCACAGAAGAATCCTAACTTCCTAATCCTAACTAATATTATAAATCTGAAAGTGAGTTTGTTTGTTTGTTCCACCTCCACGCCGTAACTACTCAACCGATTGCTTTGAATTTTTGCAGACGTAAAGTTAGAAGTCCGGATTAAATAATAGGGTACTTTTTATAATAATATAAGTATGTGCTGGTTTTTTTTGTTCCTAGTAGTATAAGATATGGAATGTACAATTCCGAAATAAAGAATTTATTATTATTATTATTATGTATGTCTTTACCATTCACGGGACCACAGGGTCCCGGTCATTTGGGAGGCGTACGAGGGGCCGAAGCCAACTGCGCAGAGGCCCTTTAGACAACTTTAATCTAAATGTAACGGAGACACAAACCGGCGACTATCCCTGTATGCACTATGGAAATGCACCCAAGGGCAGTCCCCGGTTAGTGTAGGACTATTATGAATAATGGAAAAAAAAAGGTAGGGCTATGGATGGGTTGCTGTGGACTGGTAAATTGGGAACTATGGATGACTATGGCACCTGCCGAAACAATGTAATTTTTACACGTAAAAATGGCAGGCGGAGACTCGCCAACTCACCGACCGGGCCCCGGAAATGGTTGCTAGATATAGCAACAGAGGGGCAACGAGAATGTGAGTGGCTGAAGGGTTAAGAAACTACCACCGCTTTCTACTCAGATCATCTGCTCCAGCCGAAGCCTCCTGCATCCCTGGCCCACTCGCGACTTACGAATAGTTTCTTACCCTCCGAGCAGGATCACTGCTCTCGCGACTCCACTCTGGACGGCCAATGAAGGCAAGCCAGAGGTGGGAGACCTGTTCCTTGTCATCATTCACTCCAGCCAGCCAATTAAGGCAAGCCGGAGAAGAAGGAACGGTGACCTCTCCCTGGAGCACTCGGGATGATGGTAGCCCGCGGGATCGCTAATGCCCGTCACCTCGCCTCAAGGTGCCCTGCGGGCTTATTATTATTATTATTATTAACCCGGAAAAAATTGATATTCCCGAGGAAAAACAAAAGTATTGGTATAGATAGCGCTGTGTGTATTGGTATATGTCACATAGGCTACTGTGATACTTTTGTGACGCGAGCGAAGCCGCGGGTAAAAGCTAGTCATATATATATAGAGATTGTGTAGATAACTGATCTATGTGTAGTATGTTACTATGGGCCGACTCCATTACACTGGACTACTACGCCTGTAGTGAAGGAATGTTATTCCAAGTGTATACACAATGAAACTTATAATTATATTTACATCACATAGATATTCGCACAACAGTCATAGAGTCGAGTTGAACTCGAACCAGTCACTACTATGCCATGTTACGAGTTACAAGTACTCATTTCCACCAAAATTGAAAATACATTTTTAAGTTTTTTATTTAAACCACGAACAGAGCACCAATGAATCGACCACTAAGAAGTTTCTCGTCAAGCCCGGCAACAATTTTTTAAAAGTATACATATTTCGAATTCAGTATAATCGTAAGTATTTATAAGAAGTAACAAGAAAACTTTCTTGTTCAGTTAAAAATAAAACTTATTTAAATACAAACATTGTAAACATCATTATGTACCTACATTCAATGTCTTCAAGTTTCAATACCTATTCAAAAATTACAACAAATGTGAACAATGTGTTGCTGCTAAAATGTTTCAATATTCAGTGTATGTTAGCAGAGTATCAATAAAATACACTGTTAACATAGCAAACGTTTTACTTTAAGCAATTACTTGTCGTACGTAACATATATCATACGTCGTATTTGTTGCTGTTATCACATGAAACATTTTTGCAAAATGCTAGATGTATGATGCACATTACCCGGTCAACTAACAGTTACTATGATATTAGCACATTTGTTACTTGTGAGCAGAAACTTACAAACGACGAAGTTTGTCGTATCAGTAAGTCGTTGGTAATACCTCCACGGTACGATGGTTAGTCGCGACAGCGTCTCGAGCGCGAGTAGTTCACCGCAGGAACGGTTCCTGGGCCGCCGCCTCCCTGTAGCGACCCTCGTCCGTCGACAGCAGACGCAGCGAGAACTCCGCCACCGACAGCGCCGGGCCCGCCAGCACCTCTACGTTGCGGGAGTTGGCCAGGAACAGCGTCGCCAGCAACACGTGGCTCGTCGGCGCCGCCACGTCGCGCCGCAGCGCCCGCCACGGCGCCCCGGCCGCGCCCGCCGCGCCCAGCGAGCGCAGCACGGCGCGGGCCAGCGCGCGCACGTCGGGCGCCGCGCCCTCCACCGCGCGCGCCAGCACGCGCTGCTGCCAGCCGGCGCCCTCGCCCCCGCCGGCGCCCTCGGGCGGCGCCAGCCCCTGCAGCGCGGCGGGCGCCAGGTCGGCGACGCGCGGTTCCTCAGCGCGCGAGGCGTCGGAGTCAGCAACGGAGCTCTGCTCGAAGAAGCCGTCGTCGTCGTCGCTGTCGAAAAGTCGGCTGGCGTGCTTGGCGGCGGCGGCGACGGCCCGGGCGCCCTCCTCGGCGCTCCATCCGGAGAAATCTGTGACACATCACTTACACTCTCACTACTGATCAATTTGGGCAGCGGTTGAGTTGGGCTTCCCATTTAATGACCATTACAGGTAGTTCAATCATTATGGAGAAAATTTGGGGTTGCCTGCTCCCTAATATTCAACCCCATCATGCCAACACATTAAGGGTGTATCGTCATCAAGGACACGTGGAGCATGTACAATAACACTGTCAATATTTGTCTCGGTCTACCACTATAACAAAAGATATCTTTTAAAGATCTGTGGATTCCCAATAGATGGATGTCAATAAATCACATCTTCAAAATCCAGCAGGTCCCTACGCTCGACTAAATCCAAATTTAGCATCGTGGCCATACTATTATCTTTGAGTATTGCATTCATATCATCTTTATGTTTGAGTATTGCATTGCATCCGCCCGCTCGTTTGTCGCCCTATCCCTAAAACTGTAAGTGGCATTGGTTTACCTCCATGAGGAATCGGTGTTTCTTCGCGAATTTGTCTGCGGTTAGTTAAAATTTCAGTCCTACGTCTTTTCACGATCTTTTTGATCCACGTAGGCGGTATGCTGAACTCCTGTACCTCGTCTAACATTTGCCGTAAATCTATAAACAAAAAGTGGGAGTGTTATCACAAAAAAAATTGCATGTATTTATTATGCACACGCCGTGTGTCCAAACGCGGACTTACGTGAGACGAAATGTATTTTCTAATGTGTCTCATAATATACCCGACTTACCCTCACCGACGGACATTTTTAAAGCTGCGCCGTTACTTATAGCTGCTGCGTCGTTACTTTCAAATTTTCTTTTTCTTTCTTTTTTAGTCAGTTTCGGCGTGGTGAGGTCGGCGGTGGCACCGGGCTGTGCGGGGGTTTGACACGTCTCGCCCAGCGCGCCCTCCTCGGCCTCGGCCGCCTCAGGGGCGTGGGCCATGGCGGCCAAGTCTGGCGTTCGTATCGGGGCAGCCAAGTCAGGGGCTCGAATGATGTCGGCCAAGTTGGGCGACATCAGCGTGGCGTCCAAGTCGGAGGTGTGGTGCGGGCGGGCGGGGTCGGGCGTGCGCGGCGGCGAGTCCCCGCGCTCGGGCGTGCTGGTGCGGGCCGCGGGCGGCGGGGGCGCGTCCCCGGGCGGCGGGGGCGGGGGCGCGGCCGCCGCGATGGCCTCCTGCAGCTCCAGTAGCGAGATGGGCCGCAGGGTGCGCGCCTGGCTGGACCCGTCCTCGAGCTCGTCCACCAACAGTCCTCGCTGTAAAAATGAGTGTTACGAATGGTTAACTGACAGATCGTGGTATGGAACCCAGGAAATATTATGAATCAAATCATATGAATTTCTTGTTTAAATACCTACGTAATGTTTAATTTGAATTTAATAGGTATGAGGAAGGTCTATTTTATCCTTTGCCGTTGCGATTTTGCGAGGCGGGCTAATTTGAACAATTCGACAATCAATTATCAGGACCATCCATGTATTTTTGTATTTCTTAATTCTATGCTATTTATATTACAAAAACATTTATATTGTTCTCGTGATCAGCTCTGCCCGCGTGGCCGCAATAGCAGAGTCGCCGTGTAATATAGGCGAAGGCGTCGAGAGCAACAGACGAACCGTGTGATTTAAACAGGTATTTGAAATTCCGACGGTCAGAGAAATCCATAAGAGGGCAGATATACAGACATGCAAGCGCCAGGTGACTTGAAAGTCGGAGAGCAAGCCGATGGGCTCGCCGGCGTAGTCCAGTAGCTGGGCGTCGGAAGCGGTGATGACGCGCGGCTCCAGCTCCACGTACATGCGCGGCAGCGTGGGCGGCGGGCGCGGCGCGGCCGGCTCGCGCGCCGCCGCCGCCGACAGCGCGATGTGCGCGAACTCCAGCTCCGACGAGCCCCGCCGCCGCGCGCGCCGCGCCAGCCCCGCCAGCCCCGCCAGCCCCGCGCCCTCCGCCGCCTGGCCATCCGCCTCCTCTCTGAGGACCACACGTACACGTGTCGCATAACGTAACATGCTCGCTGCGAACGACATGACAGACGGGACAGGTTGTACTCACCTGGCGGCGAGTAGCTTGTCGCAATAGTCGAGTATGCTTTGGTGGAGCCGATCGACCTTCTGGCTGTACATGTCGACGGTGTGCTGCAGCAATATGGCCATCTCGGGGAAGTTGAAGCGAACGTCCTCGCCTCGCTCCAAAGCCTTCAGCCCGGTCTCCGTCATATAATCCTCCAGCAACTGGACACACGCATACACAACACTTATTTGCAGTAGTCAACATACTGATCTCAAAATTAAAACAAACAATTACATAAATCAGATTACAAGACTAAAAATACAATAAAAGTAATTTGTTACATATCCTGATTGATTGTATTACAATATTGTATTGAAGTATAGATGGGAGCGATATGTTGGTAGCAGTAAAAGAAATAATTCTTCATAAGAAAATATTGATTGTTTTCACACAAAATATTATTTTTTTATAAAACATAGTTTTTTTATAGTTTTCTACAATTAATTTCAAATATTTCAATAAATGAATGATCCAATCAGTTAGTTATTTTATGACATCTGCACTTTATGAACACTTACACTTTACAGTACACAAAGACCACTCTGTTGCCACTGTTGCTAGCAAAGTATTAAGAAATTGTTTTTACAAAAAGCTTTTTTAAAATATTTTTTAATGAAATATAGTTTTCTTTGTTCTTAGGAATCTCACATATGGCAAAAGTTTAACTGTGTGAGTTTTGCATTAATTACATTACTAAAAAGTCTCCTTCCATTTCTAACAATTAAGGCGAATGGATGTATGATTTTATGTTTTATGGTTTCAACGAAACTTGGTGCACAGATAGTAATATATGGAAAAGTACATTTTATATTTAGGTAATGCAGGCAGACACTGGCAGAAGTTAGTTTCCTGGAATGTATTTCATTTAACAAAACTTGACTTTGCATGTTGCATAATAAAATTGTTTCATGTAGGTATATGATTACATATCAATAAACCAATAACTCCAAAACAAACAAAATAAAATCATTTTAGTTGTCTACATAGAGAAGTCACTTATAGTTATGTACAAAGACAGCATCAAGCACCATGGGTATGTATAATTTAGGGATACAACATTAGTAACACCACTCGAAAATATCTTATTAGAAATATTTACACACAAATTTAATGTCGAATAAATAAAATTGTTAGTAAACAACACATTTAACTACTACCAAGCAAGCCAGCTTCACAAAGCTAACCAATCGAGTGACCATTATAGCCTGAGCTATTATCTATTGATTCGCATCATATCAATATTTATAATTTTCAGGCACAATGCATTTGCTTAAATATCATTGCAATCGTCGTTGGAAGTTTATAACGCCAGGTATTGTATATAAGCACGAGTACGAAATAACTTGATTGGAAATATTAATTCCTTGCCCACGCTATGCACCCGATGGAGCCTCGAGTACTTACTTACCTCGGTAATGTTTTGGTTGAAGAGTCGGTCCTGATCTTTCATTGACACAGGCTGCATCAGCTGCGCTACTATTTCATCGAGACGCTGAGAATTCATGCTCCACCGCTTTTCCCTTCGGGACGAAAGTGGAGTCCTGTAAATCCATGACGTTCTCTAATTGATAACTATACTTAGAAATGAGAAGCGTCGCGCCGCCGCGGTGCACAATACAACATACAATGAATACAACCACGAAGTTGTACTTCTACCACAGTGGCGCGAAACTTTCTGTCAATGACACCTTTTCAATTTTAAAAACTTATTAGAAAGGTTTACAAATTTATAATCTTTTTAGTTTGAGTTCAAACACAAGTTACCTTGGCTTTTTAATGCACACGGCGTCCATTTTACAAACATAAAATTGTACAAATAGGAAGAGCGTAATAACAACGGTGGCCATTTATCTAAGTTTTAAAGTGAGACATTCCGCGTTCCGTCTGTCAATGCTCGGCGCTCGCTGATGTTCGACGCTGTGAAACTGCACCGACCGAATTCATTTGTCTATGGCTTACTAAATACATCAAAATAAAAATATTATAAATAATATTTTCCAATAAATTAAATCAACATTTTATTTACAATGAATTATATTAAATTTTGTATTTAAATTAAAATAATTGACAAAATTCTATATAACGTTATCTATATGCAGGCTGATTTGTTATTAGACCATATTGTTGTATGGGGTTATAGAACATATAATTTCCAAATTTTTTATCGAACAAAGGGATAGGCGTATTTGAACAGTTATTAAAATATTTAACTTTTAGTGTTAAATTCAAAATGGAGCTCGCGGTAACTCTAAAACTGAAAAACCAAAAAAGAAACGCGTTTGACTTTTTTTGTAAATATCCTACGTTATTAGTTTATTTACTAGTTCTAGTCATCAAATACACAATAATAATATGATTTTAGACACAGTTATCCCAAATTCATAATACATAAAAAAATTTCAAGTTTGAATTTAAAATATGCTTCTTTAACATAAAAAATACTACGACATTTTGTTGTGCCCTTTCTACGAAAAACATCTACATTTCCTACGTTTTCATATAAGGTATACAACTTCAGCATACCTGGAATAATGCCAACGATATTAGACTAACAATGGACCAAGGTAGTAAAATAATGAAGTTCAACTTACAATAAGTTTACATGAAGTTTACTTTCCTACAACTTCTATCCGAATGATTAGCAATTCCCTTATTATGTTAATATTTAAAATATGGGGAATCATCTAAGGTTTTATTTTATCTGTCAAAAATGAAAAACATACAAAATAAAGGATTTTGTCTAAAATACGGATTGCTTACATTGCACATTTATTTATAGGCTTGTTTTGATTTTATTTGGTTAGTGTTTATGACCTGTGGCGCCCTCGTAAATAGAAAAACTGTAAAAAAGCGTTACAGTCTATGGAATATTATAAGCCTCTTTTGTCTTTTCTTTCTGTACATACTACATAATATATCTGGATGGATTGGATACCTTTTATGCCTATACGTCATTCTATCAATTACACTTTAATAACACTGTCATTTTTAAATAATAATATATCTTTGCCATAATAAAACCAAACACGAGTAAAACCAGATTAAGTTGGCCAAAAATGTCACAACAAATAATTTATACATTGTAAAATAAAGTAATTCAAAATCATCGTTCAGTGACAATCGTCAAACCGAGTTACAGAAACTGAAATCTACTTAGCCAAAACAATGGGAATGTCTCGATGCTATTCATTAATGAAATGTTTGCTGATACTGTTCAATATCATATTTTTGGTAAGTCATTCAATAATATATTTGCGTGTTTTTGTAATAACTGTATGGTCAGAGTCATTTTCAGTCATAAGCATACATTTTCTTGTCGACTCGATGCGTAGGTACCGTGTAGTTACTTAATCCATAAACAACTACCTATTTCTATACACCGCTATTCCAAAAGGCACTTAACTGCGTTTGGTAGTGTTTGTAGTATACTTTTTATATAGAACTGTGTAGAGTAAGTATACTACCACTACTATTCCGAGTCGCGGAGAACCTAACGGGTAACCGGGGCTCCGGCTCGACGTGCTGGAGAAGGAACGGGGTGGTTTTTAGTCAGTAAGAGTCTGACACTCCCTTCCGCCTCACCCAGGCGGGAGCAGTCATTCGATGATTTTCTACCGTAAAAAAAAAAATACTACCACTACTATACTTTCGCGCGGTTTTACTCGCTGACCCGCTTAGCTCGGCGCCTATTGATCGCAATCTACTGTTTTGTAGCCTATAGCTTTCCTCTATAAATGGGCTACACACAAAAATATTTATTCAAATTGGACCAGTAGTTCCTGAGATTAGTGTTCAAGCGAACAGGAGAGATAAAATTACTTACATCTCTCAAGGGATAGTTTAAGTACAATCAAATGGTATTCATTTCTGTAAATTGGCTACAAATACTATTATTATAATAATACTATTATATGTTCTGTTAGATCTATATATCTATATTTTAAAATTAAGCTAGATCAGGTTCACATTTTAATTCTGACTATGCTGAACTACTGAAGTTCTGACTTAATAAAATAAACGAAGAGAACCATGCAAGTTAATATTTGTTTATGTTGTTAAGATGCGTGTTTACACCAACACCAGTAAACAACAACAAGCTTATCATAGTTCTCAGCACAAACCATAGACAGGACACCACCATAGATTTTGAGTGGTGGGATTAATCATTTATAAATTACTAGCTTTTACCCATGGCTTTGCTCGTGTCACAAAAGGATCACAGTAGCCTATGTGATATATACCAATACACACAGCGCCATCTATACCAATTCTTTTATTTCCCTGTGGAATATCAACATTTTCCGGGATAAAATGTACCCTATTATTTAATCCGGACTTCTAACTTTATGTCTGCAAAAATTCAAAGCAATCTCACTTTCCCATTTAGTAAGAATGTCTACTTGGAAGGAAGTCAACTTAAGAATAGGATAAGAAAAGGAATTTGTGTGAATAACTAGTTGAACTAGAAATAACAGGAATTTTTAATTTAGCCCCTTTTGTGCTTGATTTTCTGGAAAAAATGCCTCATCAGATTTATCTAATTAGCTTTAGTACTTATCTCATTAGTATTCAAATATATGTATGCATATTATTGTCTTTTTGATCGGCAATATAGTAATTTATTAACACTAAAGCTACATATTGAAACTGAAAGAACCATCGTGGTTCCAGTGCGTGGGCAGTAGCGCGTGCGGGTTCGCAGCGTGGGCGCTGTGGGACGGGCGCGGCAACGAGAGCAGCGCGGCGCGCGCCGGCCTGCTGGCCGTGGCGGCGTGGGGCGCGGCGCTGGCGCTGGGCGCGCTGGCGGCGCTGTGCGGGGCGGCGCGCAGCTCGGCGCCGCTGCTGGCGGCCGCGTTCTCGCTGCTGGCGCTGACGGGCGTGGCGGAGGCGGCGGCGGCCTGGTGGGGCGCGGCGCACCGCCCCGAGCTGCGGCGCGCGCTGCACGCGGCGCTGCAGCACTCGGTGCGCCGCGAGTACGGCCTGCTGGCCTCGCGCACGCAGCTGCTCGACGTCATACAGCAGGGGGTCGGTGCAAACGACACAACTCAAACTCATTTATTTCAATTAGACCAGGAAAGCACTTTTGAACGTCAACAAATATATTGCAAATTGCTTATTCCAAGGTGTAGAAGAACGAGCAAGAAACTCCATAGAGTACTCTTATTCAATCAGGCTTACAATAACAATTCTTTTCTAGTTACGTAGTTTTGTTGGTTCATCCATCACATTAATTTGTATTTGACTTGTAATTGTTATTTGGAATTGATGTAGTTACAGCATGATTTATTAGGATAGGTGCAAAGATACATCTATTATTGTGTGGTTGTAGCTGGAGTGTTGCGGCGCCGACGGGCCGCGCGACTGGCAGCACTCCGCCTGGGCGCGCGCGCAGGCCGGCGGCGGGGGCGCGGGCGCGGGCGGGGGCGCGGGCGCGGAGGGCGCGGGCGACGTGCTGGACCTGTCGGTGGGCGCGCCCACCAGCTACTACTGGGTGCCGCCGTCCTGCTGTGTGCCCAGCGATGATCCGGAGGTAATGCGCGCGTCACTCGTTTGTGATCGATGTGATAGTATCTGTTACGGTGGGACTGTGTGCTATCATATATCTAAATGCAATCCAAAATACAATAATAAATTAATTGGACCAGGCAATATGCGCTTTTATAAGTGCACTGGAAAACTCATTGACTATACAGACGCCCTTAGTGATATTTCAATTTTTAATTAACATGACCTCATTTTTTTATTTATTTATGGTACATGAAAGACGAGTCAATTAGAAGAAGTTTATTTGACATTGTGATTAAGAACGGTGTGAAATTTATTATGTTTACATTTGGATATGAGTGTCGGCGGGTGATGTGGAGGAAGGTGCAAAGCGAGCGCAAGTAACGCGCGTGTGTCGCAGGCGTGCGGCGCGGCGCGGCGCGTGGCGGGCGCCAGCGCGGGCGGCGCCGGCCTGCACGCCGCCGCCTGCGGGCCGCGCGCGCTGGCGGCGCTGGCCCGGCTGGCGCGCGCGCCGCTGGCGCTGGGCGCGGCGCTGCTGGCGCTGCACGCGGCGGCGCTGCCGCTGGCGGCCGCGCTGTGGCTGCGCGCGCACCCGCGGCCGGCCTACAAGGCCTAACCGCGTCGCGACTTCCTTCGACGGGTCGCCTTCTGACGGGCTACTCGCACGTGTATGCGCTGCCGAATACGTCCCTACGCATCGCACGATACGACGGTTGCGATATTTACAACTGGAAATATACATATTATGTATGAACCTACCTCCCCGGCCAGCAATGATGTACCTCCACCGGCCGAGGGAGGAGCCACTACACGTAGATGTACCGTAGAGCTTAACCAAATGTGTGCTAGATATAAGTGTGTGTTGTAATGTCCGCGCTCGCCCGGCCACTGCCCCACGGCCGGACAATTCATTTGCTTTGAGCAAGTTGTCACGCGTTGGTAGTAGTACTTACTTCCATCGGTGTACCAGTACAACAATAGTGTGCATATTACTTGATTGCGACCACGTAAGCGTCGCCATCTATATATAATATATATAACATTATGATTCTGTGCCGTGTGTGACGGGGCTGGTCGAGTGAGTGCAGCTGTTTGATATGTTAATGTACAAGTAGTCGTGTGTCCGTGTGTCCGTGTAGTACTGTGACGTCATGATCTCTATCACTGCCAATATTGACACAACACTATAAGACTTTTAAGTTGAGACTGATTTTATTTTCTTTTACATTTTTTAGTACTTAAGTTGAAACCCAGTACAAATATTTAATTTTCCACGAGAATCCTATGATAGTAATGTAAGATATTTATTGACTGATGTTTATTTAAGTACCGCAGGTAGCGCACCGACCGCGCGCACCGACGAGTGCCGAGAATACTTATACTCATCTATGGCCGAGAACTGAACTTGTTGTTTTTAATAATTTATTTTTTCTATTTTCTCATTAATTAAATTAGTTGTAAGATTTTTATAGTATTTTTCTAGCTATTTAAGAATAATGACTAACTATTATATTCGACAAAAAACACGTCGTCACAGCTTGCAATGCATCATACAAAATTAATAGAAATTAAACTATTATCTTCTTTTAACATTATTTTCATAAATAGTTTTGATGTCGACTAGATGTAAGTGTCTGCTATTGTATGTTGAGTTTCGCTAGGTTTATTCGCGCAAACATCAGTGGTGGATGGTGAATGATCACAGTCATGGTGATAATATCATACAGTAAGTGCCTATCGGTCGGTCGCGACTCTTTGTAACATTATTATTATATTACTAATTGTATTACTAATGGTAGCTATGTATGTGCTAGGTAGCTGATGTATGTATGCGGGGTGCGCTATGTCCCGACTCCACTGTCTTTCAACTATTTAAAATACCTGAGTCGGTGGCAGACCAGCCCGCCACCTGGTGCCATTTATATTAAACTGCCTAGAGAGGGACTCATCCTAGATGTACACTAACCTATTATAATAATAAACGTGTCATTGAGTATTTTGTGTGTTATTTACTGCCATTAAAAATTACAACGTCACCCTGCTTCGGCTGCCTGCCACAGCAGCGCGCAAGTATATATGTTACCGCCAAAGTGATTAATTTGATGTTATTCATAACTAGCTTCTGCCTGCGACTTCGTCAGCGTAATCCTATTTTTTTCCGTCCCCGTTTGTGATTTTCGGTAAAAAGTAAAAACAATGTTGGTTAAAAAGTATTCTATGTCGGTCTCCTGGCTCTAAGCTACCTCCCTACCAATTTTCAGCCAAATCTATTCTGCCGTTCTTGAGTTATAAGTGGTGTAACTAACACGACTTTCTTTTATATAATATAATAATAGATTACCAATACATAATAACCAAATTGCTTAGTCAATGTTATAAATTAATCACTATATTAGCAGGGTCAATTTAACTAAAATGATAAATACGATCTAACGGCTCAGTCGCAAACAATTGCGGACTTAGCGGTGAGCGGGAGCGGGGCGGCGTCGTAGAAAATCGCAGCTAACCGACGACTAACCGAAATGAATACGGCCGAGTTAAAATCCGCCGCTGCTCGAAATGTTCAACTTTTCATCATGGGTTTAGCTTTGATGGTTTTCGAGGGTGGTGAAACCGTTGGTACTGCCAAGATGTACAAATTTCGTGCAGCTGCCATCTTGGATTAGCATTTTGTCTACACCATCGGTTGGTAACACCCTCGAAGACCATGAAAACGACACCCATGACTACCTCGCATCGACAATACTACATATTGCAGAACGTCTCACAGATCTCACATTGAGGATCCTATCAGCCGCCGCGCCTGTACATATTATGTATAATGACCAGTCATTATGAATAATATGACACTAATCACTTTGACTTGTAACATATAATTAAAAAAATATTTTAAACCTCCATAATAAGTGGTTACGTCACCAGAAGTAAATACTTAGAAATTAAATATGTACTTTTTTGTCACTTAAACCTTACCATAAGGAATTCGCCATCAATACTCCGTGCTTTATCACAAATAATGATACCTAATCCACCATTTGATGTGTGTGTGTGTGTACACGTGAATGTCCTACATAAACCGACTTAAAGAAGGAGGTTCTCAGTTTGACCTGTATGTATGTCTGTGAGCGACCATCTTGCGATTGGCTGAACAGATTATAATGGGGTTTTCGTAAAAGTGTTACACTTTGGAAGTTTTAGTACCTACATCAATTAAGCGACTTCAAAAAAGGGGTTCGAGTCGGTTTGTTTTAATGTATTTTATAAAAGACTAGAAAGTCTTTAATTCTCTATTAAGTCATATTTGTTTTATGTGCTACGACTGTGATTTTTTATTGGATAGGGCGGCAAACGAACAGACAGATCACTTGATGTAAGCAATCGGCGCAACCCATGGAGACCGGTAACCACAATGAAGTTACAACTTACAAGGGCCTTGCCGGCCGCTCCAAATGTTTTAATTGTAATGTGTCAATCGTAATCTTTAATATGTAGTCGTATGTGATGTAGGTAGTTCGTACCTAATTTAATTGCTCTTTCATCAATAAATGCCGACCGAATGTAGGTTGATGTATTTGAGCAATTGTCCATGTGTGCGTCTGGTGGCCCGTTCTGTTGCCATCTAATTGTCGTTTATTGGCATCTTAAGAGGTCGTAATTGACGACAACGAGGCAGGCCCGCGGCCGCTCTATGTGGCCGCGTGGCGTCGCCGCCGAGGACGCGCTGCGCCCGTGCCCTCTGACCGCTTAACAAATGCCATTGATCAACGATCTCGCATTGGAAGCAATCAAACGACCGAATTGTGAGCAGATGAGTAGCCAGCCAATACCTACAACTACTGATTGTTGACTTAATTAAATTCTCTGCTCCTCTCCTCTGTACCTCAGTTTATAGATTAGCTCGATTTTCCCACTAAATAGTGCTCGAGCCATGCATAGAAAAATCAGATTAATAACATTATACGGAGCCGCAGAAGACGTAACGGGTTGCCGGGGCTCCGGCTCAAAGTGCAGGAGTAGGAACGGGGTGGTTTTTAGTCAGTAAGAGTCTGACACTCCCTCCCGCCTTACCCGGGCGGGAGAAGTCATTGGATGATTTCCTCCCTGTAAAAAAAAGTAGGAAATAATATCACCTTTATATTTTTCTAGTGTCACAATGTTCAATTCCTGGGTCGAGCAACGTCTAATTGGTGAAAATTGGATGAAATTGCAATTATTGTTTAAGTTTAAGGACATGGTGCACCTGCACTGCACCTCTGCCTACGCTGACAACAGGGAATTATAAAAGCTAAAGTCGTGGACGACTGTGAGCAACATAATCATTTCTTTGTCCTCCACTACCCTAGGATTTCCGCAATCTACAAAGTAAATAGGTAAGCACCTAAGTAACTGTTCAACTTTTTTAGCAACCTCTGAAATGTATATGAGTTGTTCGAACGACAAAGCATTTAGTACCTAATGTTTACTATTATTTTTTTGTAATCAATCACGTTTTTTTACAGGTCTACCAAATCTCTCAATCCCAATATGCCCAATTTGAGAGTCCCAAAACTCCCAAATCTAATTAGTCTGTCCAGTGGTGATGCACGGGTGCCACAGGTTTTGAGGAGGTACCTTACCTACCTAGTTAGTAAGTGGATATAGGTACTTAATGGACGCTTTGCAATGTGGATTAAAAAAGGCAACCTCGCTTCAAAAATCAAAATACAAATAAATGGAATGACAATATTCAGTATTCACAATGAGTCGAGCCACATGCCAGAAAGGTTTCGTGTCGGGACTCGGGTTCGGGTGGCAGCGTCGGGTGTCGGCCGGGACCGGGGGCGTGGAGCGCGCCGCCGCTGTAGTCGCTCCGTCGCTCCGTCGCTCGCTATTATACTCTGCCAGTTGCCAGTGCCTTACGAGACGCGGCGGCGAGCACGCGTTCCCGCGCCTCGAGTGACTAGTGTAGTGCACGAGTGCCACATGACACAGCGGACCACGGCCACTCTCCTGCGCCTTGTTTGACGCTTGCACGATGTCCTGTGCCCGGGGCCTTTGCACTGCCGAGAAGATATTCATCTTCATCAACATCGCCTTCGCAGTCAGTATTTCCTTATTTTCTTGAATATATAGGTACGTTTACATATCTAACGTGTTGCGGATTTATATAAAATAAGTAACTTGTAGGTACATAAACTTAGGACTTATCCGTTTTCTCAGTACTTAAATACTCAAAATAAT